GGGGGGGGGGCGCGGGAGGGAGGGAAAGCAAGCAAGCACAAGGACAATGGTTGTGAGATTTGGAGGGCACACAGCTATGGTGGAAAACTCTGTCCTGTCCCCAGTCCAGAAGAAACACGTAGCCGCTTTCACTCAAAACTGGGAGGAAAAAAAAAAGAAAGATATTATTTGCCCTTCAGTCGGGTAATAAAATATCTTAGGCCAATCCAGAAGTTTTCAGACTAATCTTTCTGCAGCTTCTGTTTCAGGGACTTTGAAGCAGGCTTGAAAACAGATCCTTGCCAACAGCAGATGACAATCCTACCCCAAGCAGCTGGACAATCGCAACCAATTTCCTGCCCCTGTGCCAGAGGAAAATCTGATTTTTTTTTGCAAGGCTGTTTAAAATAATTAGACCAGACCGAGAGATTTTCACCAGGGTTGTACAAACCTCAACACGGCATTCTCGTGTTTTCAATTTTATTTTATTTTATTTATTTATTATTTCTGCAGCATCCGGGGAACACCACCTCCTGCCGTTTCCCAGTGTTTTCACCAAGCCCACTACAATTCTGCCTAATCGCAGACTAGGAAACCCTCCACCAATAAAAAGACCTGCGTGATTAAGGCGAAGCCAGATTTACTACCACCAAGCCCATCATGCACGAGGCCATCGCTAGAACGTCTGCTAAACCAGGCTTCAACGCACTGGAACAGAAGCGTAAGCCCAGTAAGGCCCTACTGGAAAACAAAACGCAAACTGCCACCAACGAAGGAAACAAAGAAACCAAAGTAATTCCAAATTTCCTAGATGAATTTCTGCGATAATTCCACCAAGGAAGCACAGACATTGGTCCGTAGACACAAACCCATTGCTATGGGTCCTTGACGTGCAATAGCATTCAAAGTTACAACAGAGTGGAAAAAAAACTAACCGATGACCATTTTTCACACTTACGACCTGTTGCGGCCTCCCCAGGGCCATGTGATCAAAATTCAGAGGCTTGGCCATATCGACTCATATTTATGACGGTTGCAGTGTCCTGGGGTCAAGCTTTTGCAACCTTTTGACCAACAAGGTCAACGGGTAAGATAGATTAGCTGAACAACCGTAGTTACTAACTGAACAACTGGGGATTCGCTTCACAAGTGTGGCAAGAAAGGGACAAAATTTAATTAATAAATGTTTCACCTAGGAACAGAAATTTGGGGCCCAGTTGTGGTTGTAGGTCAAAGACTACCTGTAAGACACCTGGCTTAAAAGCAGATGTTTATCATAAACAACTTTGTATCCAGGTGTAACCTGCTTTGTCTTGCTTTGCCCATCTTAAAACTTTACGGATAAAGTTAGGAAGATGCTTCCCTCGTTACAAGCTGAGGCACGAAGTCGGAGTAATACCAGAAATCAGCAAACGTTAGAAGTGTAAGGTGGCAACCCTGGAAAAGGCAGGTTTTGATGAGTTAGGGTCTACCTGAGATGAGTTGAGGTCTAATCCTTGGCTATTCTGCCATAATTCAGAACAGTTCAGCACTCCTACAAACCAGTTTAGGAGTGTTAAAAAAGATATAAACGCTCATGCATCTAATGTGGGAAAGTATTTTTTTCAAACCAAGAAATTCCTTTGCCAGGGGGGTGGACTAGAAGACCTTCAAGGTCCTTCCAAGCCTCACGATTCTACGATTTCATCTCTGTGTGGGTTTACAGAAGACAAAGAAATGAACAGGGTAAAAAATGGACGGGGTCAGGAGAAAAACACGAGTTAATTGACTCTAAGAAGAACAACAATGAATTAAATGCGGTTATCCTCATTCCTGACCACACAGATAAGAATCTCCTCCCCTTTTGAGCTCATTTTTTTTTAAAAAAACAACGTTTTTGGGGGAGCATTTGAAGACCTGGATTCCAGGTGAAAACCAGGTCCAGGATTTCAACCCCAAAAAAGCACCTTCGCTCCCCAATAGCTCATGTTACCATTCTCTTCTCACTGTTTTTATCTTAAATCAAATCACTGAGCCATCTAAAGCACCAGAGTCTGTTCCACAGAAGATCAATCTTCCACAGGACTTTGGGGTTCGAGGCCATCATCTTTCTCCGCGCAAAGTGGGTTTGGAACATACACAGAGTGCAGAGAACACCTGACGCTACTTCTATCCAGAAAAATATGCCAAATCTCCCCCCAAAAGACCTTTGAGAGCTGAAGAGCCAGGATTACAAACCATCCTTGATGCCCAAGATAGACAATACAAAACTTCCAAGGTTTCTCCAAGGGTCTCAACCTACCTAGGATCTGACTATCTTCATCAAGGCAACCTATTTCTGGCCCAAACCCCCTCTCACCAGGATGGGACTGGACGGGTCTGCACTGCAATACTGGGGTGAGGGGGGTTGGAAAGATATTTGAGTAAAAGGCAGAGCGAAGTTCCTACTCTGACCAAATTGCACCTCCAGTTGTGAGGTCTTCACTGCCTCCCCCCCCCCACACTTTCCCTCGACCTCAAGGCTGGAAAGAAGAGCCCCCACCCCCGGGGGAGCTTCCCCGTTCCTTGCGCTCACCCCTCGGGAAGCCGGAGGAAGAAAGGTCCACAAAGGCGGCTCTGCCAAGGAGGGAAGGTGCGCCCCCCCACCCGTCCCCGCCGCCGCTCCAACGGTAGGCGAGGCCCTCCCTGCACCCCCCACCCTCCCAGCCCTTGGCCCCGCCCGGGAGGATGCAAAGCAGAGCCCCCCCCCCCCCGGGGAGCGAGGCCAGGCCGGGCTGGGCCGGAACCAGCCGCGGCTTTGGCAGCCCTCCGGCTCCGCGGGTTTGTCTGGAGCAGCGCGGGGGCGGCGCCCCAGAGGACGAGGGTTGAACCCGCCGAGCAGCCACCGGCGGCCGGAATCCTCCCGGAGGAGGAAGCGGCGCCTTCCGGGACCCGCGCAGCCGCCCCCCCCCCCCCCCCCCCCCGGGGGGGGGGGGGCAGGGGGGGGGCCCCCCCCCCCCCCCGCCCGCCGCCGCCGCCCCGCTTCCCCCCCCCCACCCGCCCCGGGCGCTTCGCCTCCTTTGTTCTCCGGCGCCCCCGCCCCGCCCCGCCCGGAGAGCCTCCCCGAGAGCCCCGGGATGCCCGGCGGGCCCCGCGCCGGCCTTACCTGCCTTCGCCTTCCGCGCTGGGCCGACGCGCCGCTCAGCGAGGACCGGGGGGAGCCGCCGCCGCCGCCACAGCAGCAGCTGCAAGAGCCGACCTCCGTCGCCGGAGCCTCCCGCCCGCCGTGCCCATCCAGCGGGCGCGCGCTCGGCTGGCTCGGGGCGCTGTCCGGCGCCGCCGCGGGATGCGGGCCGAGAAGGGCGGAGGAGGCGGCGCGGGAGCGGCAGCGGGTTAAGAGCGGCGGCAGCAGCAGCAGCGGCGGCGGCGCCCCCGCCCTGCGCCCTCCGCCCCCGCGGCTCGGCCCGGCCTGCCCATCGTCTGCCCGGCGGCGGCGGCGGCGGCGGTGGCGGAGCGGAGCCCCGCGGAGCTTAGCGCGGGAGGAGCGGGCGGGGCGCGCGGGCGAGGCCGGCGGAAAAGTTGCGGGGCATCGCGGGCGGCGGCGGCGGCGGCCGGAGACGCGCGCGGGCTTCCCCCGGGAGAGCCACGCCGCAGCCCAGCCCAACAGCGCCGCCTGCCGGAGCCTGGGAGGCCCGGGGCGGGGGCGGGCGGGTCGGCTCCCCGTCCCGACGGGCGCCGCTGCCCCAAGGACCCTCCCACGCCCCCCCACCCCCATTCCCGGGCTCGCTGCCAGCCCAGGAGGGGCCGCCTCGGCCGGGCTGCCGTGCCGAAAGCAGGCTGGGCCGGGAGCCGCTGCGGGGGAGAAGGAATCCCGCGGCCGCCGAGAGCGAGGCGCCCCGAGAGAGCCGCTCCGCCCGCAGGGAAGGCTTCGGGCGGGGGTCGGCGGGGGGGGGGGTCACGCTGGTGCCTCGGCTGAGCCGCTTCCTCGCCGCTTTACCTGAAGCTCAGAGAAGAGGCCCAGGACTCACCTGCCGCCTCCCCGGCCGGCTGTATCTTGCACCTACAAGTTGGGTCTTTGGGTCTCCAGCAGGGGTGGGATTCAGTTTTTTGTTACTCCCGGCTCTGTGGGCGTGGCAGGGGAAGGATATACTGCAGAATCCCCCTTCCCTCCCCACCCCCCGTAACCTGCTTTCCAGCTCTGTTCTCCTGTGCAGGGCAACCAAAGGAGACCCAGCCAATCAGCTGGGACTCAGTGAGAGGCAGAGAAGAGATGGAGGTTGGCCAGGCCAGTCAGAGATAGGATTTGCCGATTCTCTGAACTACTCCAAATTTCCACTACCGGTTCTCCAGAACTGGTAAGAATCAGCTGAATCCCACCTCTGGGCAGGACACACCTGCTGCCTTCTTAGCCTGGTGTATTTTGCACCTACAAGTTGCGGTCTTTGGGTCTCCTGGCCGTGCTGAAGGTGGGAAGGATAGGTGAGGGAGAAGTTGAGAAAGGAGGGAAGAGGCATCGGGCTAGGAGCAAAGATAACCAAGTGTAGAAGTTGAGAGTTGGGCCTGCAGATCTCCATGCTAGGCACCGTGAACTAGAGGTAGTATGAGGCTTGTTCCTCTGATGTCCTTGAAGTTCTACCTGAGGATGCTTCTCTGGGGTAACTTTTCTGGCTTATGGCAATGCTCTCCAAGTCACATCTGTGCAAACACCACAGACGATGCAATAGTGGGACAATTTAAATTCCTTCACTGCACTAGCATGGATGATGTTACCTAGTTGGATAACGAAACGTCTGCAAGAAAAGTTCAGAGAGCACCAAGGACCCCACAGTCCCCTTCCTCCTCTTCCTTTTCTCCACAAACCCCTCTCCCTTCTAGCACTGATGATGTTCCCTAGCTGGGTCATAAAACATCTGAAGAAAACAACCAAGTTGAGAGAGCACCAAGTCGGCTCTTCCTTCCACTTTCCAGGTCGGAATGAAATGAGAAAAGTACCTTGAAGTGCCCGAGTTTTAATTTTCTGTTCTTCCTGCCACATTCCAAACACTTTGACTTTTCTGTTTCAGTCTGTTGAATGCCGTAATTCTCCTGCCAAGATGAACCGTATATCAGTATCGATAGTCTGTCCTGCTGGCCTTTACAAAGGCCAAACACATATTTATTGGCCGATTCCAGAGGTCATCCTGATTCTCCAAGCCAGATGTTCCTGGGAGGAGGAGGAGGAGGAGGAGGAGGAGAAATTTATGACAGCCTCGCTGGCCCACTTTCTGCAACTTTAGCAGCTTTTGTGGGAATTTGATCTGCTGCCAAATTCTGTGGAGACGATCATGCCCCCAGCTTCTCTGCAAGAGGACGGAGGGGAAGGCAACAGAACAGAAACCTTTTCCAGCAGATTTTAACACTAGAATAAGAGGCCCGTTGAATGAAGGAGGGTTCAGTCACAAACACTTCAAGAAACCTCAAGAAAACTGCAAGTTGAGCTAATACATTCCCACATCTAAGCTGAAATAATAATAATAATAATAATAAAAAAATGAATTTCAACATATAAGTAAATGAATGAATGGAAGAATGAATAAATAAACTGATACAGAAGCTGAACTAATACATTAAAAAAGAACCCAGCCCCTGAATCTAAATGCAAGAGTTAAATTTCCTCTTGCATCTTCTGTGATCAGAGTTTGCCAAGAACTTGAATTCGATGTAACAGTCATTGGCAATTGTCCGTGCTTATTGTTTCTTGATCTCAAGTTTTTTTTTAAAAAAAAAATATTGAATTGCTAGTTCCTTACTTGGGAGTACAGTAAAGTATTTTTTTCCTCTTTCTACCCATAGTTAAAAACTTGGTTTTCTTGGAAATGAAGAGGATGGACCACAGGGATTTGACAGAAGAAATGCAGAGCTGTTTTCATGTCACCGTCCCATTCCACCCCTCACCCGCCCCCCGGCCACTATCCCTGTGCATTTTCATGCTACAAAATGCAAAGGTTACCCCTAGGGTCAGCCCCCCTCCCCAGCTGCCTTCATCGCCTTCCATCAAATCCCTTTTTTCTCGCAAACTCCCACAATGAGATCAAAACCTCTTGTGTTGGCAGCCTTTTTGCTTGCTCGGTCATTGTGGGATGGTGCTTGCACTCATTCCTGCTCTCCATTCCTGCCCAAGCAGGGGGTTGGGCTAGACGATCTCCAAGGTCCCTTCCAACTCGGTTATTCTGTTATTCCATTGTGCCACATTTGGCGCTTTTTAACCTTACGTGGATTTTCTCCTCACTCGTCTGGATACCCTGCCCTGAAGATTAAAGGCAGGGAAAATTAACAGCCGAAGACCTCAAGGAGTGACTTTTAGAGGTATCTCATCAGTACAGCCTTTCCTAATCTGATCCTCCCAGATATTGGGGGGCCTCCGCTGTGCCCAGCCACTGCCCAACATCCTTGGAGAACAACAGCCGTGGGGCAAGACCCTTTCAATTGCAATCGGGGCGGGGAGGGGGAAATTTACAGCCCTCTGTTGCTCTGGAGCTCTCTGGTCCCCCATTCCCAGCCCCCGTTGTTCTTATTTTGGGGACTGGAGGAGGAGGGGGGGGGGCTTCCCAGGCATCCTTTGGGACCAAGGCCCAGCGCAAGGCTTTCTGAAAAATGCTGGCTGGCTTCCTTTCCCCGGTAACTGCTGGGAGCCAGTCCCTCCTACATCCCTTTTGCTCAGCACTTAAACAACTACAAATTCAGCCCTGATAAACCCAGCCGTGTCGCCATAGTAACAGCAAATCAGAACCGCTTTAGGGATGCTGTGGTTTGGCCAAGGAGATAAAACACTTCCCACCCCATGCTGTCGGTCTGCTAAGCTATGGCTGATAAGTGAAGCGAGGAAAAGGGGGGGCTTGTCTTGCGCCAAGCCGCAGAGGCCCGCGGCTCCTCCTCGTCTCCCCTCCCATCTCCTCTGCAACTGGGGGCCCGCAAAGCCGGCCACGGGGCTGAGAAAGAGGCTGTGCCTGGATGGGCCTTCGTAACCGAACACGCCCAGGGCTTCTCGTGGGCTGCATCTGCTGAAGAGTGCTCCGGACACAGCCACGCTGAGGCTCACGAAGGGGTTGGGGGGCTGTTTTGTGGCCTCCCAAGCCACGCAAATGCCAGCGTGGGCACAACTGCTGCCCCGAAGGCCGTGGGTCAGATCCCCTAAACAAGGCATGAGAAGAGGAGGTGGTTACTCTGAGCAGGAAGGGTCACCTTCGTGCAGCATACAAAGCCACAAAGGGCTTCGTGCCTTCGTAGATAGCCCAAGCCCCAGCTAGTTTGGGAGAATATCCCCCCCCATCTGCCAAGGATGGGGTCCTACATGCGCCCGTCCACCGCCTGCTTTTAGGACAGGGCTGTCCCAAACCTTGCAACTCTAGGGCTTGTGGACTTCAGCTCCCAGAATTCCCCAGCCGGTTCTCCTGCTCTGCTGCCCGGGAAATTCTGGGAGTTGAGCTCCACAAGTCTTGGAAGTTGCCAAGGTGGGGCAGCTCTTTCCTAGGTAGCGAGAGTCATGAAGAGGAGACCACAGGTGAACATCCAGGATTCGTCTTTCATGACCAGACTCGGGGAAAGACACAAAGAGGTCTTTGGAACCCAAACTGGAAATGGGTCAAGAAAAAAGGATTTTGAGGTTCTGCGTAGCAACCTTGGAGATGAAGCACTGATGGGATGGAGAGGATGCACCATGATAGGACCTGGACATAAATTTCCTCTGGAGGTGAAACACCTTGGTAGGTTGAAGAATCTGCCAAGGTCAACCTTCTCTCGCTTATTGGGCTCCAAAGGGGTTAGAACTGCTTGTCCAACCAGCCACCAGTTTGGTCCTGGTTCTATTTGGTTACAGGTAATGGACCAACATGAATAAATAGGGAGGGCCATTTAATAGGGTTCTTTAAAAGAGACAGAGTTGGAAGGGACCTTGTAGGTCATCTAGTCTAACCCCCGCCCAAGCAGGAGACCCTACACCATTTCTGACCAATGGCAGTCCAGTCTCTTCTTGAAAGCCTCCAGGGATGAAGCTGCCACAACTTCTGAGGGCAACTTCTGTTCCATGGGTTGATTGTTCTCACGGTCAGAAAATTCTTCCTTATTTCCGAGTTGAATCTCTCCTTGTTCAGTTTCCATCCATTGTTCCTTGTCTGGCCTTCAAAGGTGCTTTAGAAAATAGCTTGACCCCCTTCCTCCTCCTCTCTGGGGCAGCCCCTCAAATACTGGAAGACCTCTATCATGTCTCCCCTGGCCCTTCTCTTCCCTAGACCAGCCAGGCCCAGTTCTTGTAACCGTTCCTTGTATGGTTTAGTCTCCAGTCCCCTCATCATCCTGGTGGCTCTTCCTGGAGATCTTCTATCTGGTCCAACTCACTCCTCAAGCAGGAGATCCTATCGCATTGTGGACAAAGGACCGTCCGGGCTTTGCAAAAGGGAAAACTCGCATTTCTGGATTCCTCAGTTCATCTTCTGCCCCCCCCAGATCCTTTAAGAATAATAGCGAAGGGGGTCATTAAAAGGGGGCGGGGGCCCTTTCTCCTTTCTCCCCGTCAATCATTTGGAAAAAATAGTGGGAGCACCCAACCCTAGAGAGTTACCCATTCCTGCATTAAGTGGATCTGCACCAAGTTGCTGCAGCTTAATTGGGATAAATTAGTGTAATGTATTGAATTATTTTAAAACACAATTACATTTTATTAGCCGTCACTTAAGGACCTTAATGGATTAGAGGCGGAGAGGAGGAAGGCAAGCAGGCTGCCGAGTTAACCATTAATGGGTCAGTAGAACTTCAGCCTGTCTCCGCCAGTCCGGTGCCCTTGCGGCTTGGGGGTGCTGCTGGGAGTTGTAGTTGAAGATGACCCACAATTGGGTGAATCGATGGACAAATGACTCAATACGAGATGATGAAGTGAAACGTAGAGCAACAAAGTTGATTTGGAGGCTGGACATATGAAGAACGCCTGCGGGAATTGTCCGAGTCCAGGGAAAAGAAGAGGACTACAGGGGACAGGATATCAGTCGGCCCATTTTGGAGGGGGTCCCCCATAAAAGAGGGGGTCAAATCACCAGAAGGCAGGACGAGAAGCAATGGATGGAAACTCATCAAGGAGAGAAGCAATTTAGAACTAAGGAGGAATTTCCTGACAGGGAGAACAATTGGTGGAACGATTTGACTCGAAAGGTGGTGGATGCTTTTTAAGAAGAGATTAGGCAACCATTTGTCCAGAATGGGATAATCTCTCACGTAGTAGGGGGTTGGACTAGAAGACCTTCGAAAGTCCCTTCCGACCCCGTTCTGTTATTCTTGCCCTGGCTGGATCCATATCAGCGTGCTTCAGGCTCCGGAGTAGAATGCCTGTGTGGAGCGGTAGAGGGCAGCCGAGGTTAGGCTTTGGACCAAAATCCAACGCCAACGAGGGGAAGAGGGGGCCAGAGGCAGGCGCCAGGCGGGCTCTCCTTCCAGAGGAGGCCATGCAGAGGATCAAAGCCTGCCCTGGAGATGGTTCGAGGCAAAGAAGCAGAGACTGGACTCGATGGGCGGGGACGCGGATTATGTAGGGGGTGTGTGTGTATGGCTGACTCACTTAACAACAGTGATAATAAGGGTAAAATCGGGTTTGCCTGCACTAACACTCACCCTGGGTTCATGCACTACATCAACCCTGGGTTGTTGTAAACTAGGGTTGGTTGAATAAGCCTGAAATTGGAGGGATTCGTGTCTCACTCCAGCTAGAAACCACACCTGGCTAGTCTCGCCGGCCGGGCTCACACCTCAAAGCGAAACCAGACGAAACACCCTTTGCACAACCTCTCCTCCTTACTCCTCCTCCTTAGCCCTCCCCCCTACTTCCTCCCCTCCCCACTGCCCTTTGCAAGTGAAAACCTCCAAGTTGCCTGATTCAGCAGCCGGGCAGAAAGGCCCCATTCTGTCCAGCGCAGATTTATGGCCCATAAATTAAACCGGGCACCCAAAGGCACCGGGCGCTGCCTAAAGACTCTCGGCACAGCTTCCCGCCTCTGCCAGTGAGGCTATTTTTAGACCAGCATCTTGTCTATTTGGAGGAACAGGTGCAGGCTAAAAATAACCCTCCTGTGCACCCAAGCTTACAACGCTACCCTCGCATGCCCACCAACTGGAGAGGTGGTGGCGCTGAAGGAGCTGCAGAACTCGCCTGGCATAGGCCGGGCACACCCAGAAGTGAACCGTGGCTAACTGGACCAAGGTGCTCCAGAGCAAACCTGATTTTTCTGGGTCCTGGGTTCTAATCCCATCCGAGCAGATGGTCTCCAGGTTGTTGATGCCTCTCTTAGACTTTGTTGGCATTTGTCTGAAATCGTACATAGGGCTTCCTCCTGAGCAAGGGGTAACCGTGGCAACTTTAAGACTTGTGGACTTCAATTCCCAGAGTTCCTCACCCTGAGTTCCCCCTGAGTTCACCCTGAGGAACTCTGGGAGTTGAAGTCCACAAGTCTTAAAGTTGCCAAGTTTTGGGAGCCCTGGTCTAGACTCTCGACTAGAATAAGAATAGAATTCACAATAAACTAGACTAGACTAGACTACAATAGAATTAAGATATAACAGCAGCCAGGAGAAACTTTTTAAAAGGGAACTCATGCCAGTCTGTTACGCTGCTTCCTCGGGCAGCATCTAAACTCAGTTGCAACGTGTTCACCTCTCACCTGCTCCCACCCCCGGGGAACAAAAGCCAGGACCATCCTCCAGTTTATCTCCCTAACCCTCCGGTGAGCTAATCCCGGCCAAGAAAACGCATCTAGGAACGTCCAGGGGTAAGTGGACAGGAACTGCCCGCCTCCCTTTTTTAAAGCCATGCCAAGTTCCCCTGAGAAACCCACCCCCCCGTTCTTCCCCCTTGGCAGAAGCCCCTCCGGTGCCTGGCAAAGAAAAAACAGCCGGGTCTGCCAACGTGCCAGGCACCAGCCTGTTTCTCCATTTGGGAAATCCGCGGGGCAAAGTCCAATCCTGCCCTTTGAAGTAGCTGGATTGAAACTCTGGTCTCTCTCTCTCTCTTTCTCCCTCCCCGGCTGCCACATCCCCACAACGGAATAATCCCAGGAAGGTCAGTGCCGGCAGCTGAGATTTCCTTTGCCTCCCTCCTCGCTTTTCTTCTTCTTCTGCTGCTGCTGCTGTTTCTATTTTTTTCCCCTTCACTTTTGTTTGGGTTGGGGGTGTTTAACTTCCCCAGCTCCGTTCCCACCAACTCGGTCCTTAGAGATCTCCAGCATGGCACAAAAAAGGACCTCCTGGCTCACCGTCCAGGTTTTCTGGTCTCTTTCTCTCTGTGCCGTTACCCCCCCCCCCCGCCCCCAAAACCCTCCCCAATGCTAATCGTAGTTAATTTGAACTTTGGGTTTTGAGGAAGGGGGAGAAAAGGAGCTTAGTGAGTGGGATGAATCTGGCTCAGAACTTTTGTGGATTCGGGAGTTGCACGGCTGTGTCTCAGGCACCCAATTCAGACGTTTTACAAAGAAAGCCCACTTTGGTTTCAGCGTCCACATTTCACGAGCTGGGCCCATGGCGGTTTGCAAATCAGAGTTTGTGCCCCGCCAATTCAAACAGTGGTTTAGCTGAATGTGTGAACCCAGATCATGTTAGAGTGAGGATGGGGGGTCTTCTCTGGCTCTCTCAAATTATTGCAAGCAGCTCGAAGGGGCTTCTCCCTCCAATATTCATCAAATCCTGGGCTAGTAGTAACTAGGGTTACTACTAACTCATCTTCGGGGTCAGGATTACCTGCAGTTAGAAACTAGGGTTCAAAAGGTCCAGATTTGTACAACATGCTATAAACCATGAAAATAGCAAGCAAACATTTTGAGCTGATCAAAGTTGTGTGAATGCAGCTGGTTTGGCCTTTCGATAAGCTGGGTATGTGTGAATGGTGCTAGAGGTGCAGGTCAGATGCGGTTTTTGGCTGTAACCGAGTGGATGCAGGAAACGGTGCCTGCAAGTTACCAAATACACGCGTCACGGAGGTGAACTTGCGAAACAGTACCTGCTGAATGTTCCCGAAGAGCAAAGCCTGAAAAAGAATCGGAGACAAAAAACGGATTGCAAGCGTTTCCCGCAACTGCTTCAGCTTATGCAGTGAGCAGGCAAAGCGAGCTTCACGCTTCGGGCCCCAGAGCACGTGTGAAGCCTCCTTATCGCGTGTACAAAGCTGGAATGGATGCAAAACGACCCCAAACCTTCGTGGGGGGGGGTGGCACTTCGAGAGGGTGGGGGGTGGTTAGTTTTAAAGAAAGCCGCACCCTCACCCCGGGCTCGAACAGCCCGCTTCGCGCAGCCTTCTGGGGGTTGTAGTTCCTGCCAGACTCCGCACCGAGCGCGGCGCTTCAATCCTCGGGGAGGGGGATGCGGACTCAATTTCCCAGCCTCCTTTGCGGGACATTTTATTTTTTTAAAAAATTATTATTATTATTTTTTTGCAACGAGCAGTCCGGAAGTTAGAGCAGCTTTTTGTCGCGGGGCATCGCTTCCATGGGGTGGAGGGAGGACTGAGTTGCTGGGCTGGGGGCGGGGAGGGACCCCCCCCCAAAGGAACCAGGCGTTGCTAAACCGGCTTCTAAAGGGGGGAAGGGGGGGGGGTGTTGCATGCCTTTTCCCTTGGATTGCTGCGGAGGACTCAATAATGTGGATTATAGCCAGGTACAGGCGCGCTTCCCATCGTTGCAAAGGCTCTGGGGTGTGTGTGTGTGTGTGTGTGTGTACAGATGAAAGATGAAAGCCGGGGGCGGGGGGTCCATGCCTTGCAAATCCGGTGGGGGTGGGGGTGGGGGGTGGGGCAGAGCCCAAGCCGAGCCCGAAAGAAAACCAGCCTGGCGTTTGGCGCTACTCCCAGGAGGAGCAAGAGGTCTGCGGGGAAGGAGGGAGGGCGGGGGAGGGGCGGGGGGCTTTTTCCTGAGCGGGGGGGAGGTGTGAATGCAAAGCAAAACAAACCAACCCCGGCATCGACTCCACTGCAATGCTCGGTTTTTGTTTATCTGGTTGTTTTCCCCCCTTGATGTATTTTTTTTTTCCCCGCTTTGCAACAATGATAAAAAAAAGTCTCCCTGGATCTTGGAGCGCCCCCTCCCTTCGGTTACCCCCCCCCCCCCCCCCCCCCCCTTTTCTTTCAAACCCCCTTTGCCCCCCCGGGGGGAAAAACCTCTTCCCCCCCCCCCCCCCCGCTTAAGAAAACCCCGAAATCTCCCTGTCTCAGCCGGCTTCAAAGGGCCCCAAGAGGCCAAAGAGACAAAAAAGTCCATCAGAAAAGTAAACAGAGAAGTTGCCACATCGAAAAACATTCCAACGTTCATTGGAGTTTACAGAAACTCTGACCAAGATCAAATGACTAGGAGGACAGTGGTTTTGGTTTTCTTTTTCTTTCTTTCTTTCTTTCTTTCTTTCTTTCTTTCTTTCTTTCTTTCTTTCTTTCTTTCTTTCTTTCTTTCTCGTTATTTGTTAAATAGTCTGGATCCGTTTGGAACTGGCCGAGGAAAAAGCAAGCAGGCCATACGCTTAATTATTAGCCTGAACTGGACAATCCGAAACCACCTTGAAGGTAGACGTGCCGTGCAGGTAGTCCTCCACTTACAACGGTTCGCTTAGTGGCCATTCGAAGTCACAACGCCCCCCTGAAAAAGTGACTTATGACCAGTGCTGGGATTCAAATTTTTTTACTACCGGTTCTGTGGGCGTGGCTTGGTGGGCGTGGCTTGGTGGGCGTGGCAGGGGAAGGATATACTGCAAAATCCTCCTTCCCTTCCCTCCCCCCTAACCTGCTTTCCGGCTCTGTTCTCCTGTGCTGGGCAACCAAAGAAGACCCAGCCGATCAGCTGGGACTCAATGGGAGGCAGAGAAGAGGTGGGATTGGCCGGTTCTCCCAACTACTCCAAATTTCCACTACCGGTTCTCTAGAACCGGTCAGAACCGGCTGAATCCCACCGCTGCTTATGACCGTTTTTCACCCTTACGACCATTGCAGTCTCTGCCGCCGTCAGGCAATCAAAATTCCGATGCTTGGCAGTACATTCATTTTTACCCCTCCAACTTCAGGCTGGTTCAACAAACCACAGTTTTTAAACAATCCAGGGTTGCCATGGTGCATGAACCCAGGATGTGTGGTAGCGCAGGTAAGTCCTTGATTTATGACCACAATTGAGACCGGAATTTCGGTCGCTAGCCAAAGTGGCCATAAAATCAGCCATTTTGTATGACCAGATCCGATCTTACGACCGTGTTTTACCACAGTTGTTAAGGGTCCCCAGGGCCACGTGAGCCCCCTTTTGCAACCTTCTGACAATGGGGAAGCCGGATTCGCTTAACAACCGTGTGACTAATTGTGCAAGTGCAATGATTCGCTTAATGACTATGGTAAGAAATGGGGGCAAAACCCGCTCAACCAATGTCTCGCTTAGCAACAGAAATGTGAGGCTCAATTTGGTCCTAAGTCGAGGACCCTCTTCACAGAATCAGCCTTGGGATTGCGGGTTTGAAGCCCCTGCCTTTTGCTGTGTCGCTTAGAGTGGCCGTCCCCTGCTGGAAACCTTGATGTTGGCCGCAGCGTAAGAGGCTGGGGAAAGAGGGAACTGCCCAGACCATGGCTACAGGCCTGCCTGAATGCAGATCGGGATTTAGGGTTTCGGTTACTGTGAATGCAAACCCTGGTTTGGAATCTCCTTTCAACCGCCGGCCCGGGGGAGGGGCTTCTCCTGGCTCAGAGCCAAACTCACACTCAGTGTCTCCTCCCAGGTTGACCTCTCGGCTATGACTCTGCTTTCCGATTACGTGAACGTGACGGATCCCAACTTCATAGTGGCTGCCCTCTCCATCGTTTTCAACCCATTGTTCTGGAACCTGGTAGGTACCAAACGCTGGTAATGTTCAACCTACAAAACCCAAGTAGGGCTTCAGAATGACCCCCTGATAAAAGATGGGTCCGGGGTCTTCTCTACAGGGTTTTTTTTTGGGGGGGGGGGATCGACCTGTATCCTCTCAGGCTGGTCAGAAAGGGGCTGTTGCTGCCCACCTGGAGGACAGAGCAGGTGGAGAGGAGCCTCGGAGCCCAGGCTGCCCAAGTGGGGAAGGCAAATTTTCAGGACCAAGGAGAGCTCCCTGTGGAGTCACACCTTCCCAGAGACCCAAGAGCTGGCAATGATTTGGCAACAGCTCAAGTAGCCTCAACCTGCGTTGCCTTCAATCCTTCGTATTCAGCATACAGGTATTCCTCATAGTCAGGTAGGCAGCTCCTTCCCAACCCCATCAAGCCTTCAGAAATGGAGCTTCTGGGCTCAGGTGACCCCCAACCTGGGACTGGCCCTTCCCCAGACCTCCCCTGCCTTAGCAGTGACCTTGCAAAGAGATGTGTCTTCACGTTGCCAGGGTTTGTCTGCTGAACACCTGTTGTGGTAGGAAAAGGGGCGGGTGGTGCAGACTCTTTATAGGTAGTCTTTGACTTATCACAGTTCATTCAGTGGCCGTTCCAACTTCCAACGGCCCTGAAAAAAGTGACTTATGACCGTTTATCATACTTAACAACCGTCGGACGTTCCCTTGGTCACTTCAACCCTTAGTTCCAGGTTGCTTCTCTCCTTGGTTGGTTTCCATCTGTTGCTTCTTGTCCTGCTTTCAGGTGTTTTGGAGAATCGGTTAACTCCTTCACTGGGGCAGCCACATGGATATTGGAGTACTGCTTTTATGTCACCCCTAGTCCTTCTTTTCATTAAACCAGGCCTCACTTAAGTGCCAGTTAAACCTGGTGGGACGAGTCAAAGAGATGAAGTAGATTTTGACCCCGCCCGTATCTAAAAGGCGAGGAGAAGAAAGGGTGTAGCCCCCATTTTATTAGAATTATTTCCTCCATCGTGGGTACCTTGAGCCATGGCGGAGCAGCGGTTAGCGTTAGAGTGAAGTACTGCAACTTCTGCTGACTGCTGTTTGCCAGTGGTTCAAGTCCCACCAGGCTCCAGGTTGACTCAGCCTTCCATCCTTGCGAGGTGGGTAAAAGGAGGACCCCGATTGTTGGGGGAAAGAAACTGCATAGAGGGTTGTAAGAGCACTGTGAAGAGGTATATAAGTCTAAGTGATAAGTGGGAAGGAAGGAGGGAGGGAGGAAGGAGAAGGAAGGAAGGAAGGAAGGAAGGAAGAAAGGAAGGAAGGAAGGAAGGAGGAAAGAAGGAAGGAAGAAAAGAAGGAAAAAAGGAAGGAAGGAAGCCATAGTGGCACATTTGTTACAATGCGCTATTGCAGACTCTGCCCATGGCCAACAGTTTGATCCTGACTGGTTTAAAGTTGACTCAGCCTTCCATCCTTCCGAGGTGGGTAAAAGGAGGACCCCGATTGTTGGGGGCAAGAGGCTGACTTTATAAACGGCTCAGAGCGGAGGGTGAAGCACCGTGAAGCAGGATATAAGTTCTATTGCTAGCGCCACCTTCTCCAGTGTTTAAAAAAAGGCTATAGCTGTGTCTTTGTTCCTCCTGGTTTGAGTTGGAGTTTGGAGTGGGGGCCCTTCTTCCTTCTCCTTCCTCTTAGATAACCATTGTTCCCTCTTTCTGTCTCTTTCGGTGTGCCGAGAGGCCGTTTAGCATCATCCCTTATTCAGACAATGAGGCCTTCTGCTTTTTTGCTCTGTCCACCACACTGGCCCTGGTTGGTTGAGTTTTTGTCCTCCCCGACCGTTTTCTTTAAATGTTGCTTTTAATGACCATCGACCGGGGATCGAAACAGGGCGAGGGGAACAGCGATCAGGCAGCCTTTTCTTTCAAGGCCAGAAAGCATCGATCGCCCATGCTGTGCCATCCTGCCGGCTGCAAAGTGACAAAGGGGTTGACTGTACTTATCTTGCCAGAAAGTTCTCACACCTGGCAAGGCAGGACAAAAACATATATATAGAGAAGGAATAGCTAAAATTAGGTATCTTAATGACCCCCTGGGACTCTGTTACACAAAGGCTCCGGGAATTGGGTCAGAGAACCTGAGGGATGGTGTATGTGTGTGTGTGTGTGTGTGTGTGCGCGCACTGGGAACAATGCGTCATTTTGGGGGCTCAGCGGAAGCACAACCACCACCACCCTTCCCAGGTTCAGTGTCCTATTTGCAAGAAGTGAATTGTGTGTATGTGTGTGTGTGTGCGCGCGCATGCTGGAATGCATTGTTTAATGTCAACAGGGAGGAGATTTGTGCAAGTTTTGCTCTGTGCAATTGTGCAAGTTTTACTCGGGGAGGTCTTTCTGCTTCTGCTCCGTGCAATTGCGCAGCCCCCGTGTTTTTTTTGTTTGTTTGTTTGTTTCAACAACTCTTTCTCTCTTGCCCCCTGACCCAATTTCCCACTGTGGGTATCTTGATTGTTTCCAAAGCATTTTGGAGAAAAATAAGAACAGTTGAAAACGAGCCTGAGAAACCTGGAAAGCCTTTATAGCAAATGAAAAAGGCGCCACCCACTTGAAACCAGTTGGAAACAGGTATTCAACCGTAAACGTAGTTTTTGAAAAATGCTTTTAATCTTCTGCTGGCTGCCCCTGTATTTCGGAATCCTTGACTTATGACAGTTCATTTAGTGCCTGGGTTGAAATTACGACAGCACTGAAAAAAGTGACATGACCGTTTTTCACACTTACAACCCTTGCAGCATCCCCCGTGGTTACATGATAAAAATTCAGAATCTTGGCAGCTGGTTCGTATTTAGAATGGATGCAGCACCCTGGAGTCATGTCAGAGTATATTCATGAACTGGAATAGAGCGTGGTAACAGGGTCAGCCAATGAATAGGCATAGCAACTAAGTCAGCCAATGAGGACTGTTTGGAAACTGAAACTAGAAGTAGCCTAGGCGTGGCTCTGTATTAAGCTCTGCAGCTACATGGAGCTCTGAGTCTGTCTGTTGAAAATCAAACTGCTTCTCTTCTCTGCTGTGTATCTTGCTTGCTTGTGTGCTGAAGATGAGTTGCTTGTAACAGTCTGCTTCTGTTGGAGTTTGCTTCATGTTGGAGAAATCTACAACCGGTACTGTAAAATTTACTTTATATGTTTATAAAGAAGTTAAATGAAACCTCAGGCATCTGTGTTTATTTTTCTGGCGCTGGATTTACGCTGCAAAACTCTGAACATGGGATCACTTTTAGCGGCTTTCTGACAAGCGAAATCAATGGAGAAGCCAGATTCATTGAACAAGCATACAACGAACTGATTTGCTTAACAGCTGTGGCAGGAAAGGTTGTACAATGGGACAAAAGTCAACCGTCTCACCTAGCAACCGAAAATTTGGGCTCAATTGTGGTCATAAGTGGAGGACTACCTGTGCCAGGAGAATATCAGAGAGAGAGAGAGAGTCCCAAAGGAGCTTTTTTCCAAGAAGCAACTAGACTTTCTGGTTTTTCTTTGAAGACGTTTCACTTCTCCTCCAAGAAGCTTCTTCAGCTCTGACTGGATGGCGGGGAACGGAAGGATTGATACTCCTTGCAGACACAGCCGGTCATTTGCATCCTTTTTAGAGGATTGTTGAGGCCACCTGGAGGTTTTTCTTCTGTGTCCTGAATGGTGCAAATGGGTGTGGAACTTTCTTGGCCGCAGGATGTTTTCTGCAGATGTTTTCATGCAAATGGGCGTGGAGAAGGCTCCGCCGCCATTTACACCACTCAGGCAACCCTGAGGACACGGACTAACCTCCAAGTGGCCTCAACGACCCTCTAAAAGGATGCAAATGACCAGAGCTGTCTGCAAGGAGTATCAATCCTTCCGTTTCCCCACCATCCAGTCAGCGCTGAAGAAGCTCCTTGGAGGAGAAGCGAAACGTCTTCAAACCAAAACCAGAAAAGTCCAGTGGCCTCTTGAAAAAGCCCCTTTGAGGCAACCATGACCTGGAGGACTGAGAATCTCCATGGACATGAGAGGTTAGCGTTGGGCGTTTCTGCAGGCCTAAGGTTGGTGGGCCTCCTCGTAGAAAGGACGCTAAGTTCAGGGGACCTTTGGTTTGGATCCATCAAAAATGGTCTTTTTTTCCTCTCCTTCCCTTCCCGTCTGCTCACCTGTTGGTCTCTCCTTTCCTCAAATCCCTCAGCAGGGGGCGCTAAAGGAGCAATGTAATTCCACCGCATGATACCTAGCCAGAGTCCATTCATCCTTCCCAGCCCAGACCCTTAATGACAAAGCAGGGGACGATGGTATCGGTAGTCCAGGATGGCATCTCTGTGGAGCTGGGTGAATACAGAGGAAGAAGAGGTGCAACACAAGAAGCAAAGCTGTCTTTTCTAGTTTGGTTCCCCCACCCCACCCCGTCGTCCCCCCGATTTATCTCTCAAAAATAAGCATCCTGCCAGGGGTCCAGCACCTTCCAGGTGGGTTTCTGGGATGAGTTGAGGGTGGGACAGTTTTGCAAAGGACTCTGAAGGGTCCTTTCCCTCTTGGGAGCCATCCCGCCTTTGCCGCAAAATCCTTCTCCCTTGAGACCCTCTTCCAAGAAGGAAACTCAAGAGGCAGAACCTCAATGCCTGATTTAATCGTCCCGAGGACCCCCCGAAAGTGCTTTCTCCCAAAGGCTGCTGGACTTTCTTGGGTTTTGTCTTTGAAAACGTTTCGCTTCTCATCCAGGAAGCTTCTTCAGTTCTGCTTGGATCAAGTAATCGGGGTGCATGGACCCGAAGATGCTTCTCGGATAGGAAGAGAAATGTTTTCAAGAAGGGAAAAAAAAACCCCAAGTCTTAGTGCCTTTTCGGGGGGAAAAAAAACCGCCTTTGGGACCACCGTGACTTGGATGATGGAGAATCTAGCCGTTCATCCAGAGGGCTTTTCAGAACCGTTGCAAAAATGCAGCCCTTGTGACTTTAGATTTGGGCCTTACGGACACGATTTGGGGATTGGGGTTGTGTGGAGAGAGAGAGAGAGAGGGATGGAAATGAGCCTGGTCAGATGAGAGGTCACCTTGGGCCTCCCCTGCCTTGCTGAAGCCTGCTGGCTGGCCCAGGTGCAAGGGCGGCTTACCTTATCGGCTTCCAAATTCATAACACCTTCCTCTGCCAGAGGAAAGCAATTAGGTGAAATGGCTTCCTTATTATGGAGGAACGGAGAGTTTAAACCCTGCAGTCAATACATCGGCCTGGGTTTCATGAGGCTGAGGCGCTCCTGGCTGCCTTTTACCTTCCTACCTGGCTCTGAAGATTATGCCTCCTGTTTTAAAGCCTCCCCCCCACCCCCCACCCCCCACCGATCAAATCCCCCTGATAAGGAATTCATCTCTTTAAAAGCGTTGACCTGACTTGGCAGAAATCCCATCTCGACCTCCAGTCTTTCTTTCTCTTCTTTCTCTTCTTCTTCTTCTTTTTAATCTAAGAAGAGTCTTGGGAGTCTAACCTCTTCTGAAAAGCAGACGGGTCCTCGTTTAGCGGCCGCAATGGCAACTTGGTTGTGAAGCGAAGTTAAATGGACCTTTTGACGCGGCTTAGAATCTTCTTTCAACTTCCTCTTTTGCTTTACAAAGATTAAAAAAAAGAAATGCAAGGACTGGCTGGAAGGCGGCGTTTTTTTCACCCACCCCGTCATCCCTTCGAGGGGTCGCTAAAGGAGGCAGGCACTAAACGAGGACTATTTTTTAAAAAATTTTTGTTTATCAGACTTAGAAACCACCAATAAAAGCTCACTTGGGTGTGGAAGGAAGGAAGGAAGAAATGAAATACTCTGGTTTTTGCTGTTTTTAAAAGTCTTTCATACCTTCTGCCTTAAGGACAGAGAACGCTTTAGAAGTTAGCCCCTCATCCTGTGGCTAGGCTGCTTTGGGTGACTGTCTGGGAGTTGTGCAAAGCTCAAGAACCCTCGTGTATAAATCCATCCCAAGAAGAGCAAAAAGAATGGTCTTCCCCCCCTCCTTTTTTTTAAGTTAAAAAATGGACGTTGCTCGGAAGCAGAATTGTTCTTTTCTCTGCGTTACCTTTGGCAGCTGAGCTTCTTTTTTGAGATGCATTGTCCGATTCACAAGACCCAAACTGCCCCCTTTGCCAATCCAGCAGCATCTTTTTGGTGTGTGTGTGTGTGTGTGTGTGTGTGTGTGTGCGTGCGTGCATAATTCTAGCAAAAAGAGAAAAATTGTACGCTGGAAAAAAACCCTCACCCAGCTGCACTTTCTCCCCGGGGGAAGCTGATGCCACGCAGCAAGTCATGGCATGAACTTGGCCAACGGTTGGCAGCAAGTTTGAGTCTTGTTTAAGCTGCCTAATTAACTTGTGGGGCTAATTGGTGTGGTAGTGTGGGGGGAAGGGGGTCATGGACAATCGCCCAGCCTTCTTCCCTCACTGTGGAGACACCTTGAATGTTCCAGCACCATCCAGCCACACACACGTAGGGCAGCTCCTAAAGAGGCTCATTAGAGCTTGCATGCAAATAGGCCTCTCTTAATTGCTGGCTTGTACAGAGTAATTAGCAGGGAGTTCTCCCCCCCCCCCCTTTTGTTCTGTTCTCCCGCTTTGCAGTTGCTCCTGCCTTACCCTCCCTGTGCGGTTTCTGCTGGGATTAAAAATCACCTCCCACTTCCCGTTCCCCCCCCCCTCTTGCTGGCCATGGGGCAAGGCCGGAGGGAGGGGGCAGAGGGCCATTTGCCAACTTTAGGGCATGTTGGCATCTCCCCTTTTGCAAGGAAATTGCAAGCATTCACACACAGGAGTTGCTCTGGGCAGTGCTTCAAGATTGTACTTTATTTGTGGGGGGGGGGGACTCCCCTTTCCTTCCCTCTCCTCCCCTCTCTCTTTTTCCCCGACTTTTCCTTCCTTTCTCTCCCCTCCCTTCCTCTCCTTTTCCTTCCTTTCTTCCTTCCTCCTTCCCTTCCTCCTCCCTTGTTTTCCTCCCCCCTCCTTTCCCTCTTTCCTTCCTTCCTTCCTTCCTTCCTTCTTTCTTTCTTTCCTTCCTTCCTTCTTTCCTTCCTTCCTTCCTTCCTTCTTTCCTTCTTTCTTTCTTTCCTTCCTTCCTTCTTTCCTTCTTTCTTTCTTTCCCTCTTTCTTTCTTTCTTTCTTTCTTTCTTTCTTTCTTTCTTTCTTTCTTTCTTTCTCTGGGCTCACCCATCAGGGAACAACCCACAAGCCTCTCCAGAAGCATCACGGTTGCTAGGCTCACATTGTCCCTGGCAGAAGTGGCACATGGCTGGGGGCCATCTAAGGACTCTCACCAGAAAGAAATACCCTGCTCTCTGCCATATATTTGCGGTAAGCTGGAGATAAAAATGGAACAGCATAAAATAGAAGCGGAGACAGGTTTCAGAAGTGAGGTGGGTCCCCATTAAAATGCAAGGCCTTGGGGGGGGGGAGAGAAAATCCGTCCAGCTGCATGAGCAAGAAACCGTATATCCCTGCCTGGGAACAAACACTCCATATGGATGAATGGATCGGCGGGTGGGCGTCTCTCCAGCCAGTTCGGCTGATCCTGGTAGGCAGGTTGGCCAAGAACGGGCTGTGGGGACCCTCCTGCGTAGGCCGAGCAGAAATGCATCCGAGTCAGGGCGCTCTTCAAAATGCAAACGGCCCATGAGGGGCCAGGACAGTCCTCGACATACGACCAACAATTGAGCCCAAGGGTTCTGCTGCTAAGCCAGAGGCTTGTTCAGTGGCTTTGGTTCCATTTTATGACCTTTCCACGGCTGTTAAGTGAAACCCTTCGGTTGTTAAGTGAAACTGGTTTCCCCATTGACATTGCCGGTCAGGAGGGGGTGTCACGTGCCCGCACCTGTCATAAATAGGAGCCAGTTGCCAAGCGTCTGAATTTTGATCCCGGGGATGCTGCAACGGTCATAAGTCTGAAAAATCGGTCATAAGTCACTTTTGTCACTTCGAAGGGTCACTAAGTAAAGTGTTGTAACTCAAGGCCTACCTGCATCCCAGAGTTTCATTGTTATTCCTCCTTTTTTCAACATTTTTATGAAACTAACGCGACAAACCAATCCACCGATGTTTGTCATCTAACAACGGGCAGTTGCCCCATCTCTCATCCATCATCCTTGGGGAAGGCTTTGGAAATTCTGAATCAGCGCTGAGAGTCGATGACGGAAGGCCTATCCATCAAAATTAAACTCCAGGCCGAATGGAGGTACTATTGATTAACGGAATTACGAATCCACCGATGAGGCTGTATTTCCTGTCAGAAGAGGCATTAGTAATTTGGGATCTTTCCAAGCTTCTCCTCCCTTGCAGAGGCCTTGGATGTTGCAAAAGGTCTTTGTTATGTGGTCATTCGTCCAGCTGGTTCTTTGATGTCTTTTTAAAATTATTATTATTTGTCTGTTCAGGTCGCGAGATGGGAGCACAGGAACCGTTCGCTCACACGCATCTTCGGTTCGCCTTACACAGCCTGCTACTTCCTGGGAATTGTCATCATCTTCCTCAACTTTCTGCGGAGTCACTGGTGAGTCTCACCTTTGTTTGATAGGCCTTTGGTGAAAGTTGGAGGGAAACACCTCCTTCAAATGGCTGGTTGGCTTCCTCCCCAAAACCACAACAGCACAAGAGCACAACGACAGATATAAACTTAATGTAAACCACTCCAAACTCGATTTCAGCAAGAGTGCTCAATGTCTGGAACTCGCTACCTGATTCTGTTGTCACCTGCTCAAACCCTCACTCCTTTACCCTCAAACTAACCTCCGTTGCAGGGGTCTCCAACCTTGGCCAATTTAAGCCTGGGGGACTTCAACTCCCAGCTTTGCTGGCTGGGGAATTCTGGGAGCTGAAGCCCTCCAGGCTTCAAGTGGCCAAGGTTGGAGACCCCTGCCCTATCGACCTCACCCCATTCCTGAGAGGTCTGTAAGGGGTGTACATAAGTGCACCATCGTGCCTACCACCCCTGTCCTATTGCCCCCAGTTATTAGTTCCTCTTTTGTATATTTAAACTTAGATTTATTCTTATTTCTATTATATTGTAAGCATTTGGCTAAATAAATAAACGAAATAAAATAAGCTTGGAAAGGTTGGAGGAGACTTCCGTGCATTCGTTTGCAAATGAAGCAGCGCTCAAGTGCAGAAGCCTTATCCTCCCTTTGGAAAGCAACGGGGAAGTCGAGCTAATGCAGATCTCTCTTCAAGCCCAGTCGCTTTGCCTCTTTGCTGGAGGAAAAGAGTCGCCTTGCCTGGGCTCCGTGGAGCTCCTTGTGAGGGTAAACGTAAGAACTTTGTGCATGATCTGGGATCTAGACCTGAAGGGGGAAACGGTAGCGTCTGATGGAGTCCCATCCTAGGAAGCGAGGTTCGTATAAGGAAGGAACACCAAAGAACTCAAGTAAAAAGTTCAAATTCCACGTCAAAGTCAAGGCAAATGTCAGCAGGACCTTGGACAGTTCCCAAAAAATTTAATCTCCCATCTCCTCCCTTCAGTTCTGACTAGATTTATATTCTACTTTTACTCCTGATGTCAGCGTTCCAGCAAACCTCCACTCCAGCCAATAACTCCAAGACAGACATCTCTCAAAAGTTCCTTTTATTTGGATAGTAAGTGGCACAACGGTGGAATCCCAAATCTTAAAGTTCCGGGCTTCCTTACAATAAAGTAAAAACTACAAATCCATCCCCTGCACCCATCACCGCATCCCATGGCCCAATCACCATCCATCCCACAGTAAGACTTCCTTTCACTATGCGCAACACGACCTGGCCTTGAATCAGAAAAAGAATGTTGTTATGTCTAACTAGAATTACTCCAATGAGTTCCCCCCTCCCACTTTCCCAGGCTCAATTGTGGCAGCGTGGGAGCATCGGATCTCAATACGACTTCCAAAGCTGACACCTGCACCTCAAGGTGCCTACAAAACATCCATCCTCCAATTTGTCCCATCTACAGACTTGTGAGAGGGGTTGGGTTGAGTGTGGCCTGCCCCAAGTCCCCCAGTGAGCTTCCATGACCCATAACCTCAGTCTCTCCTAGCTGAACACTGACATCGGTCACTCTATAGGAACTGAAGCCCGTTGTCCAGCTTTGAGTTAATGCCTTTCCGCCAATGGACATGAGTAGACTGGCCCTCACTTGATTGTAGAGTTCTTGATGACCACAAAGTTGGGGAGATAGGTTAGGCTGGAGGTCCTCCTCTTGAAAGATCCGTGAGAAACCATCTCCAGCTAAATATCACCATTCCAGTCAACCTTCCTCTGCTGAAGGAGGCCTCCAAATGTATGTTGGACGAAGGCGGGTTTGGGGATCCAAGGCTCTGATCTCATTTAAGGCAGCATCGTCAACTTGATGCTCTGCCAAATTACCATGAGATTGTAATGGAACCCGGTGGGGGAAAATCAGCCCCTACTATTCCTATCCCTTGTGGCTCTACCTTATCCCTAGGTACCACAAGGAAGTCTCTCAGTTCCTGCCTCTTTTCCCCCCATTTTCAAGAAGGAAAGGAAAACACGGTGTCTGCGCAGTTTCGTTTTCAGAGTTTAGTGACTTCATGTTTACAGAAGCACGGAGGATTATCTGTGCATTTAATTCTCAGGTCATTTCAACTCTCTTATCTCGGATAAGGCAAGATAATGCTTTCCCTCCCCACTCAGACCTGCTCTCTGTAATCCAGCATGAATGATGTACTGTACATTATGATAATGTGTCCTTAGATGTTCTCGTTGCAAGGAAGGTAATCTAAGAAGGCCGGCTGACTTTCCTCCCTATCCACAACAGCTCCAAAGGTTCGCTCTGCCCTGGATTCAAGGCCGAGGGGGATACAGGATTAAATCCAAAGTGAGGACCAGCTAAACCTAAACCCTCTCTTTCCTTTGCCCCCCCCCAACCAACATCCTCTGGGGTCATGAATTATTCCAGGGGACCGAGGAAAAAGGACACAGAATCCAGCTTTTGCGTCCTGAGCCTGGTGACGGCAAAGAGAATCTCGGACTTAAGCTTGTTTTGCGTGTTTGGAGGTTTTAAAATCTTCCTTGGGCATTGCTCAAGAGCCGGAATAAATGATGTACGAGGAAATCTTCTATAAAAGTTGAAAACAAATTGCAGACTCACCCTTTCTAAACCGCCCCATGGGGAATGACTGATCTGCTAATAACCATCGTGTTTAATGATGCTTTAAGTGATAGCTACAAAAAAAGAAATCATAAAATTGAGCCAGTTCTGTGGGTGACTCATTTTATGTCCCTAATGGACAGGCCGCATGCTGGTCATAAGTCAAGGAACACCAGTAAATGTGTGTTCTGTGGAAGGCCAGAACGCTTTCCCTGAACTTTGAAAAGCAGAAAAGGGCACGACCCAAAGGATCCGTCCGTTTAGCCCAGAAGCTCTTGAGGTGGAGTTCCTCGAAATGGCGAGTTTTCCAGCAAAGCTTTTCAAGAGCTGCGTCCCTCACCTGGAGGCAGAGCTCAGCCAAGCTCCAAAACTCAATTATTAGCTCCGAAGGGTCAGGTCAGTGATTTGCTGCTGTATAAGGTACAAGTCATTTCTAAGAAGAAGAGTGAACCAGGGAAGGAAGTCTGCACTTGAGCAGCCTTGAGAACTTCCCCCCGTTTCTCTCTCTCTCTCTCTCTCTCTCCATCTATCACCTATCCCCCCCCTCTCTCCCTCCTTCCCTCTCCCTAACTGTCTATTTATTATCTCTATCTGTCTGTCTATCATATATCATCTATCTATATCATCTATAACTGTTTTTGTCTCTATCTATCTATCTATCTATCTATCTATCTATCTATCTATCTATCTATCTATCTATCTATCATCTCTATCTGTCTATCATCTATCTATATCATCTATAACTGTCTCTGTCTCTCTTTATCTATCTATCTTTCTATCATCTCTATCTGTCTATCATCTATCTATATCATCTGTCTATGTCTGTCTGTCTGTCTATATCTGTCTATCTCATTACACACCAACTGAACTTATTAAACAGGCTGAGTGGGAAGAGGCCCCCACAGAGGCTGTTCTTTTGTGGGGGGGGGGAACTCCACCCTCGAAGCTCTTTCCCGTCTGGAAAGACCCCTGTCTCAGGTGTGCAAGGATGAAGGGCAGGTGACAATGGAGCAGGCAGGTTTTTCAGTCCCCCTAAGGGCAGAAGACCCAAGCGATGCAGTATTTAACGGACTGTGAGCTGTGGTTCTTCTCCCCAAAGTATTCAAGGGCAGCCCCGCAAGTTGCACAGTACAGTAGTCTAACTTGAGTTTAATCAGGCTACAGGTAACAGGAACTCTTAGATCGCTCCTCAGCAAGAGTTTGATCGACTCTAGCAGCACAAGGGGAATGTAACTCACAAGCTTTTAAGCATGGTTGTTTGGTTGGCGTTCTGCTTATCCTCTGGCCAAAATGGGCAGGCTTAAAGTCGCACGTCTCTTTGCCAATGTTGGGCACATAGGTTGCTTCCAAGCAGCTCTCCCTCCCTCCCTCCTTCCCTCCCTCCCTCCCTCCTTCCCTCCCTCCCTCCCTCCCTCCGATTTAACAGTGCATGAAGTCAGCAGAGGGAGACAGCCATCTGTAAAGTGGGTTTATATTAACCGTGAACCAAGGCTGGTCGATTGATCGCTCCGAGTAGCATGCCATGAACCCAATTGGCTCGTGATGCCAGACCGATGACATTAACTCCAGAAAGTGGCATTGGCCAGAGATATGAACGCTTGAAAGGTTTATTTATCAATAGTGGGAGCGAGTGGGTAACGGAGGTAACTCCGAGTTCACATGTTAGGCAAACAAACCTCTGTTTAGGAAACCATCCATCTTGTCTCCGGGAGAAGATGGCCCATTAGCATGAGCAAACACTTTCGGCTGGCCTGAAAACACAGGTATCTCGACTAGGGTGGCTAATGGAAGCCCCATCCTTGTTTGCAGAAGAGTTGAACCATGAGCGAGCATGGGAGTCCAGAGTGAAAGGAAGATGGCCGGCCTGGCCACGTGTCCCCAAAGCTCCGTTGCTGTGTGTCAAGTGGTCATTTAATCAACTTTGTCATCGTTGTTTAACCGGCCGAGGGGCCGGTTCGAAAGCGTGGGAAGAAGGGAAGGGGAACCAGCTGGTGTCCCCTGAAGCTGGTGGGTTGTCAGAATTGGGGCACTGGGAAAAGTCCCTTCTCTTCAAATGCTGTGTTGCTATTTTTCGAATTAAAAACCCAAGCGATCGTGTAGTATCGTTTTTTTTCTCTCCTTTTCCCCTTTATTGTACATTTGTTTCAGGCGTGAGGTGAAATAGGTTGGAGTCCAAGAAAAAGGAAGTCACGGTCTGTAGCTCTGACGGATACATTTAGTGAACGAAGAAAGGAAGTCGTCATCATTAAAAAAACCGTATTTATCAAAATATAAAATACAGAAACGCAAAGCAAAATGAAAATAATGGGAAAATAAGGGAGGGAAAAGCCAGAGGAAAGAAAAGTATGGAGTCTTTTTGGTCCAGTAGAATAAGATATCAACGTGAAAGCTCAACTTTTTACTTTTATAGAACAATATTTACTAGCCATTTTTATAACAACTAGGCGTATCTAATCAGTAAGAACCGGAAATAGGAAAGTCATTAAGTCTTTCATAATGACTGGATTGTCAGATAATGGTGCTAACTAACTGCTAACTATCAAACACAAGCCCAGTTTATGGTGACATCAAATTCAATTCTACACCATTTCCTCCCAGGCTGGAAGTTTTTTCACAATGGGAAACCCCAGAGGCCGTTTCTACCTGTTCCTGGTGGGGGGTGGGGGGCTTGGGCCTGTTTGCTCCCCATCTTGACAGAAGGAGCCCCCTCCCCCGCCCCCCCCAGCCACCAAAAACCCACCTCGTGTGTTCTTTCGCCCAATATTTGTTTTCCTTCCGGGGTGGGAAAAGTGCAGCACGAAACACCCGAGTTTGGTGTTAGTGTCAGTCTGCTGCGCTTGGAGAGGGAGAGAGAGACTGAAAGAAAACAAGCCATTTGCACTTAGCAAACTAAAAACAGGGCAGGAAATTGAGTTTTCTGTTTGCCAGGGCAAAGATGCTCGATCTAAAAATGCTTCTTCTGGACTTTTTGCTGGAAAAAAAAGAGAAAAAAACAAACGATTTATGGGTTTGAAGATTAGAAAGGATCTCTTATGGAAAGAAGGAAATTACAATGTAAGTTTAGAGAGAAAACATTTGAGTGCATTTATTACCACTATCAAAAAGATTGGAAGCCTTCCTTCCTTCCTTCCTTCCTTCTTTTCTTTCTTTCTTTTCTTTCTAGTTCTATTTTATTTCTTACTTATTCACTCTTCTATCTTACTGCCTTGTTTTTATCTTTCAGTAAAAGTTTTAGGCACGTCAAGCATTTGTAATTAACGGAGTCTCCTTTCCTTCAGCCTGCAAAGCCTCAGAAAGACTTCCGTTGTCATGTCAACAATCTTTCTTTGTCATCTCTTGCAGCTTCAGTGAAGCAATGAAGAGTCAGCCCAAGCTGCCACTGCTGGATTGTCTTTGGGGGTACTATGCCAGTGTGACCCTCATAGCAGTGGGCATTCTGTTGGTGACCTCCAGTTTCATCGCCCTGGGCTTTATTGGGACATTTTTAGGTAAGGACAACCTGATTGTGGCTTGATGCCAACATTCTCCAACCAGATTCTCCTAGGTTGATACAGACAGACCACATTCTCCAAGTTGCCCAAAGTCAAAACTGGTTGACTATGGGGACTCCTACAAGGGAGGTCCAAGATATCAAAATGGCAGCTCCTTTGTCCTGGGTGGCTCTGGATACACCACTATTTTTACTTTTTTCTCTTTCTGCCACAATATATAATATTGAAGTTGGAGGTTTGGGGAAGTCAGTCCAAGATTGTTCAGTGGGACAATGGCTCTTCTTGAGTTCATAGATATGTTTGCATCACTTTCTTGATGATACGGAGGTGACTTTAGAAACGTAGAATTGTAGAGTAGGAGGGTAGAACCTTCTACTCCAGCCTTAACCACTTGAAGATGGATGGGCTTCCAACTCCCAGAATTTCCCAGCCAGGCCAGGGAAAGAAAGACTAGAATACAATCTTTCCAGCAGCCAACACCCTGAGAAGCATGGATTAACACCAGACAAACAATAAAGCAGAAAACAATACCCTACGCAAGGAACTACCAGTAAGAAAAGCCACATCTCCACCAACACTGGCAGTACACCCATCATAAGGGTTCATTTGGGGGCCTCCCTGGGGCCCAGGAAGGCCAAAAATGGAGGGGGTGGGGGCCTTCCTGGGCCTCAGGGGAGCCTCCTGGGTGAAGCATTAAGTAAGCGAGAGAAATGCCGGCACAGCTGATCTTAGGAACAGTGGATTGTCGGGAGTGATAAAAAAAGAAGTACCTTAAGGAGTGACTGGGCGGGTGAGCATCGGGCGGGTGGGGGGTCAAGCAATTGAGCAGGGACCACAGCGGGGGCGTGGCCAGCCAGAAGTTACTACCGGTTCGGCGACCCACGCCAAATCCTTGCTACCAGCTCATTTGAACCGGTGAGAACCAGCTGAATACCACCACTGCTCTCCTCCCCCTCCCCACTTTATCGTGCAATTGCTAGAACGAAGAGTTGGCTCTCTCCGATTCCGCAATCCGGGACGGCGTGTTTAAATAATCCGTGGGTTTAAATAATGAGATGGTTATTTTCCTGGGAGCCTCCAATATAGGCTACGGGGTTAGATTGGCACAGAATGATTCACTATTGCTTGAACAACGGCTCGGTGGCCTCCCCATTTCCTTCACAGTAGGGGCAGTTTCTCCACCGTACTTGGCTGGCCCATTTTCTTCCTTTGTGTCTGTGTGTGTGAATATGTAAGCAGCCAGAGAACTGCTTGACCGACATTTTAATCCAAGATCCAGGCCATAGTGGATGGCGGGGGGGATGCATAGCTGTTGCTAGAATCCTGGGTGGGGAGGGGGCATAGCTGTCTCTAGCATCTCGATTTTTGGAGAGATGGTTGCTGACTTGATTTCCCCGAGGGTTGCACTCTTTGACGTAGCGGGAAAGGAAGCTGTATCTTGTGAGTGAAGGTCTCTTCAAGTTGTGTCATTCTTCATCTCCTAGGAATTCAGTCCAGTAAGGTTTATGACACGGTGACTTAATCAATTTCCGGTATCAGTTAGAGAGGGAATTTAACGGAGGAGGAGGAGGAGGAGGAGGAGGAGGAGGAGGAGGAGGAGGAGGAGGAGGAGGAGGAAAGTGCTTTGTACGATACCCCACATTTCCTCTGGAGAGACCGGAGCAGCTGCCTCGGACCAGGGCCTCGTTCAGGGTTCCTCAACCTTGGCAACTTGCAAGTTGTGTGGGCTTTGATGGCCAGAATTCCTCGGCCAGCATCCGTGGACTTCAACTCCCAGAATTCCCAGCCAGCTGGAGACTTGGGCCATGCAGGTTGACTGAGGAGTTGAGGTCCATGCATGCTAGCTGGGGAATTCTGGGAGTTGAAATCCACAGGTCTTCAAAGTTGCCAAGGTTGGAGACCTGTGGACCTTGACCTGGACCAGATCAGAACCTCTTGGGCCCTCGAGGAGTGTCTGTTAAGGGCCAACTGCTCTGCCTGGCTTCTCTTCTGTCAAGGCATCCAAGTGATATCCTCCATGACATTCTGTAGCAGGAAGTTCTGGTGCGGCAATGCTTCCTTGAGAACACTTGAGGCCATCTAACTGTGTCCCTCAGAAATGACCAGCCACTGCTTCTCTTTCCCAACCCTGGACCTTTCTCGGTGCATTCTGGATCAGGATCTCACCGCCAAGAAGGAATCAACCCATCGTTTGGCATGGATTTATCATTCACCCCAAACTCCTAGGCGGTGAAATGGCCCCATACGACCTCCTGGTACGGGGAAATGAATTTATTTTCTCCGGCAGAAACGATTTCTCTCTTGAACCTTCTGTCTCTGCCGTGTCCTCTTGCTTGATCCTTTGCTTGGGATTGCAAGATTCTCCCCACTTTTTTATATCCCATCCAGATATCTCCAAACACCCCGTTTTATCTGGTTCCTTTGCGATGAATTTTGACAAACTCACAAGCTTCTCCTGCGTCTTTTTGATTCGCCCTCCCATAAAAGGGGAAAGTAATTTTCCATCTGTCTCTTCCTCCAGATGGACCAACGCAGCTGTGTGCAATTTGGAATTGAGGGGGGGTGGGGGGGGGAGGCAGAGAGAACAGAAAGAGAACAAAAGAACAACCCCTGCACATAGAACACAAACCCAAATCCACTTTAACTTTATTTCCTTGGCTTTTCGTATTCCTCGGATATAACTTTGGAAGAGCCAGCTATGGCTAGGTTTTACTGGAATTGGGAGGAGGAAAGGAGAGGTGCAAGATTTGCAATCCGTTGGGGGTGAAGGAGCCATCCCCAAAACGTAGGTTTGTGTAGAAAGACATTGTGGGCAGAGGATAAGCCGTTTCCTCGTGAAGGAAACCGGAACGATGTTGATTCCCTCGAGAGCAAAATGCCTTTGGCTCCATTGACTGCAACCCTTTGCAGGCATTAGAAAGTCCCTACTGCTTTTTATAAAACAATATGGCCCTCGTTCTTGCATCTCCCACCCTTCGGACCAGGTGATCTTCCAACATCCCTTAGGACTAGTTTGAAACGGCTGGAGACTTCAATCGATTCCATTCAGGAAAAAACAACAACACCCAAATTCTGCCCCCCTTTTTTAAAGCGTGGCTTAGTGAAGTCGAGTCCAGCTGGGAAGGAGGGGTATCTTTTGCCTCGGTCCACTCTCTCAATCCTTCTGTCCAGAAGGATTGTAATTTTGGAGGAAGGAGACCTGAGGACTTCTCCTCGGTTGGATGTCATGCTAAGGTTAGAAGAATGTAAGCAGTGCCCTGCTGGATTGGAAGTCTGGCCCATCTCATCCAGAAGTCCATTCTCACAGAGGTCAACCAAGGAAGCCCACCAGGCTCTCAGCAATGGCCTTCAGGAGAGGTCCTCCTGCCTGCCCCCAAGGCTAAGACCAGCTGATCCCCAGGATCTCCATGAATTGGCCCAACTCTTCTTTGGAAGTCAGCCAAGCTGGTGGCCAGCACTACTCAGAACCACTCATCCAGCAGTCCTTCCTCCAACAGTTGACCGATCTACTGTGCAAGGAAGCCCACCAGTTTCTCAGCAGATCTCTGTGGCCTCAAAGCTGAAGATCCCCAGGACTTCACGAATTGATCCAACCCTTTTAGAAACCAGCCAAGCCATAACGGTTCCCGGTGGGATCATAAGTTCACACATCCTCTGTCATCCAACACAGTGTGTGTGTGTGTGTGTGGGGTGGAGGGGCGGAGAGAGAGAGACCATTTGAACAAACTAAGTATACAGGAATGGAACCAAATTACTTTTGCAGGACAAAGTGGGTGTCACAGCTTCTATATTGCTTTTTATTAAAAAACAAAATCGGGGGAGAATGTTTTTTTTAAAATTACGGCTCTTACCCTGAGTCATCAAATACAAAGCCATTTATTTCTCTCCTGGTCCCCTTCCTTGCACTGTAGTTGACACTTCTTTATAAAACCGGGCCCCTTAATTGGCGCTAAGGACACGTTTCAAGCGCCAGTGAGCAGAGTGCAATAATTTATTAGTAATAGGTACCTGGGTCAGATTGGCAATTTCCACAGCTTCCTACCATGTCAAAAAGCCATTTTGGAGCTCTGGCGAAGAAAAATATCCCACCTGGCATCTCTTTTTCTCTCACCTCCCTTCTTCCCCTCCCTGATTGCCAGAGGCAGCTTAGTGGGATAATGAGATGACCAAAAATAAAAAAAAAAGTTTTTATCCACCGGTATGATTGTTCAGTGTTGCCTGACAATTTCTGCAGCCGGCTGAGTCATTCTGAGCTTGTGTGATTTGTAAGTTTGTGCCAGGCTTCAAAAAAACAACAACAACAACAAGGGAGAGGTGCAAAGTTACTTCTAAGCAGCTTCCTTTATCGTCCCTCACCTATAGACAGGAGAAGTCTTGGTTGTGAACGACCTGAAAATGGCCCAAACAGCGGGGATGGGAAAGGACTTTCGCAGTTTCCGCTGTGGTGGTGGACTTTCCCGGTCAGCCTTCTCCAGATCTTTGAGTTTGTTGGGATCATCGATGTCACCCAAGGGGGGTTGCTGCAGGAAGAGCGAAGCGGGTCCTTGATTGACTCAACCGTTTGTCGTCTTTCCTTCCCAGGTGACTATTTTGGTATTCTCATGGAGAAGAAGGTGACCTCCTTCCCTTTCAACGTCACAGAGAATCCTATGTACTGGGGCAGCACCTCCATCTATTTCGGATGGTCCCTCATGTAAGTCTTCTTTTTCTCTTGCTTCTTCACCAGGCAAAGAGCTATTTTTCGTTTCATTTTTTGGGGGGTTTTGTTTTGTTTTTGCTATCCACAGCCATAAATGAAAAGAGAGTCATTGCTTGCTCCCTGCTTTGACGTAAAAGGATTGTGACTTTGCTCTTTGAGGAGAGGACGGCTTTCCCCATAAAACACCCCAAATCACAACCCAGGTGGTTCATCTCAATAGAAGGACAGAATTGGAAGGGACCTTGGAGGTCTTCTAGTCCAGCCGCCTGCTCGAGCAGGAGAACCTATCCTATTCTGGACAAATGGCTGTCTGGCCTCTTCTTCAAACCCTTCAGTGTAGCAGCACCCACAACCTCTGGTGGCAAGTTGTTCCACTGGTGGATTGTCCTCCCTGTCAGGAAGTGTCTCCTTAGTTCTAGGTTGCTTAACTTCTTGATCAGTTTCCGTCCTTTGCTTCTTGTCCTGCCTTCAGGGGCTTTGGAGAATAGCTTGACTCCCCCTTCTTGGGGGGCAACCCCTGAGATATTGGAAGACTGCTCTCATGTCTCCCCAGTCCTTCTTTTCACTAGACTAGACGTACCCAATTCCAGCAACGGTTCTTTAGATGTTTTAGTCTCCAGTCCCCTAATCATCTTCGTTGCTCTTCTCTGCACTCTTTCCAGAGTCTCAGCCTTGTGGGGCCCAAAACTGGATGCCGTATTCCAGGAGTGGCCTCCCCAAGGCCTTATCAAGCGGTACTAACACCTCAAACGATCTTGACTCTATCCCTCTGGCACCCTCTCTCGTCTTCCCAAGCTTTGTCCCCTGGGTGGAAGCTGCCAGCCGGGTTGGCAGAGCAGAAATGGGCCCGCCATCCTTGGAAGGAATGACTCGGCTACCTACGGAATCTGTGCAATGCTAGGAAGGCGTCTTAGATCGGGCAGGGAAGGAGATCACTAGATAGTCGCCTGACTTCGGTGGGTTCACACACCCCTTGTCAAAGCCGGGCTGGGGTGAGGCCAGGTGTTCCTCGGAGGAGAGAGAGAGTAAATCAGGATAGCGATGAGGCTTCAGAGCTCCAGCCTGAACGATGCGCTCGCTTTTGCTCAGACACATCTCTGCCGCTTTAATTGGCCACTAAATGAGTGCTGCAATGAGCTGGCAACGGCGCTGAATGGCTCTCCCTAAAGTGGGGGTGAAAAGCAGCCTCCAGCCAAGAAAGCATCAGAGAGGAAGACGGAGAGATCACTCAGCTCCTCAAGGAGAGCTATTTAGGCAGTGATGCAGAAGGCGCTCTTAACGGCCACTTCAGAACTTGAGCAGTGGCCAAGAAACGGTCTCGGAGGGACACAACTCAGCCTGCAAGCTCGCAGCTCTCCTAAGGAGCTGGCGCATAGCATCCTTGTGGCGTCCGGTTCTCAAGGCTCATCTTTTTCTTTTTCCTGGCCTGACCCCTGGCTTTGTGGCAACAGCGGTCTTCTCCCTGCCCTGGGGGGCCGTTTGAAGGACAACGGTCCCTGTCCCAAGATGGCTCTTCCCGTGGAAACTTAAGGCAGCGGTGGGCCTGCATGAGGCTGCTTGGAAAAGAGCCTGCAAATTCTGCCACCTCGAAGTGCCCGTCAGGCTTGGTCTGGCTGGAGGGGTGGGCAGGTGGGCAGGCCACCCGCTCCCCAATTTGGGGGAGGTGTTTGGGGAGATGGAACGGTTTTGTGGAGAAACTGCTAGAGGCCCTCACTTTCCCCTCAATTCCCCCAACCCTCCTGCAGATGTGAATAGGGCCAATTGTTCTCCCTCTGACGGTCTCTCTTTCACACAGACACGCAATGCACACCAACACAGACTGGAAGGGCTCCCAGAAGAGATGTTAACTCCTATTATTCCAGCACCGTCAGGCAAAATCTCTCTGGCTTCTGAAGTTGCCAGATTCCAACCCACTCTGCAAGAGCCTATCTTGGTTTGAATCCAGATCCGTATTTTCCCTCTTCCTGCAGAAAAATCCCATCCTGGTGTCACGAGGGACACATGAGCTGACCCAAGGTCTCTCATTCTCCCCAGGATTAGCCTTCCTCCCTTTAAGCTACCCCTCCAAAGGCTCTGTCAGTCTTTGCAAACATTTTCCCACAGCCTGTGGCATTTCTGGGCACTCTTTCCCCAATGCTGGGGCCTTTGGATCAGGCTTATGGTGAGCCGCTTCCTTTTCCAATGACAAAGTAGACCATCATATCTGGAGAACTTGCAGGGTTTTCAGAGCGTGCCTAACTCTGATGTGTCCATGGGTTTGCAAAAAATAAAATTGAAGCATTAAAGTTTTAAGCCAGCTCAACGGATGGCTCTCTCCATCACTAGCCCTCCCCGCTGCTGATTCAGAGTGAAATGCTGTGATTGTGTTATAAAAGAGGCCTGTCGAGCGGCCACACTCTCCTCTCAGTGGCTACCTCATCCCTGTCTCCATGACATCCAAACACCAAGGCTATTTCCTTCCACTTCACAAGAACATTTTTTGCTATGACCTCATGAAAGGGACGGAGGGAACAGATCAAATTTCCTGGCCTTAAGCTAAACACACCCGGGATAATATTAAAAAAGGCCCAGCAATAAGCATTCTCCTCTTCATATAGGTTGCAAATTTAGGACTGAACTAGACCTGACAATGGGATTTAGTAGCATCAAGTCTTTGAAACAGGTCTAGCAGGGTGAAAAAAATAAATGCATTTAAGAAATGCAACACTTTGGGTTTTTTTAATGGCTACTGATTATGTGCTACTGTAGGGGCCGATATACAAAACAATGCATGGTACCAGTACAAAATTAAGACTTGGAAAAGAGCAGCTGTTTTTTAAAGCCACCTGCCTGTTTTTGGAAAGTCTGGTCCAAAAAATAATTTAAGATTCCTCCCCCCAGAAGTCAAACGTTTCTAAATAAACAGCATTTTAACTGTAGATCTTGGAAACTGTGAGGGTAAGATACAAAGACTTATTTGGCTGACATTCTGATTTCTATTTGCCAAATAAATCTGCAATCCGAATGGTAATTTTTTAAAAGTCAAGTTAAAAGTTCTGCAATGAAGTTTTCCAAGAGGAGGGGAAAAATTTGCAGACAAAACAAGTCAGGTAAGAAAAGTCCAAAAAGAAATGAATTGAGGAAAAAAATGGGTTCCCAAAAGCTCAGATTTGCCTGGATTGGAACAGATGAAAATAGGGAAATATTATATGCAGATGTCGCATGGAATGAGCTTTAGATTGGGAAAAAATCTAAGAGGAACTGGATTTCTCTAATTCCATCTCTTTGAAGAAGACCTGTACATACTCATAAGATTGATGGCAGGTTTGCTCCTCCAGACTGAGACCCCCAAATGGGTTGGGGTGCAATTAGAGCTCCCCACATGCTCCCTGTAGAAAGGGCAGAAATCTGGATCCTATATCTGAAGGACTTCAGGATGGGGCAGGCTGAGCCAAGGAGCTCCAAAAATCAAAGAGGGCCCCAACCTTCAAGCAATGTTTTTTGGAAGAGGTCCCTTCTCCAGGTGCTGGACACCTCATCATTCATGGTTGACCCTCTTCTGCATTTTGCTTATTTGCTGGTTGCCTGAAAGTTGACTGCAACAGCAGCAGGAGGAGGAGGAGGAGGAGGAGGAGGAGGAGGAAAACGGAGCAAGAAAAATGGAGAAGATTTAAGGGCTTCTTTCTCCACTCAGCCCCAAAGGAAAGTTTGAGTGTCCTCTTTTACGCAGCCTTCCTGTTGACAGCTAATTCTTTCCCCTTGAAGAAGAAGAAGAAAATCCATGTTTATTAAGGGGTCTGAACATGAGCTCGCATATGGGCAGAAGCGTGATTAAGGACTAATGACTCAAATCTATAACAGAGCCGTGTTCCAGAAGTTTAACTGAGGCTATTTTAATCTCTCTTCCACTTGCTCTCCTTCCCTCTTTCCCCCCTCAAGAAGCAGCCCCAAAAGGGTCCCCCAAATCGGTCTAGGCTGCGCTCCAAAAGCAATCTGTTTAGAGTGAGGGGAGGGGGGCTCTTGAGGTCCTCCTGATATCATCTCCCTGGAGTCAGACTCAGTAACTCCACCAGAAGATCTCGGTGACTTCATCTCCAGGCGCAGATGAGGTCAGTTTGAGGTTCCAGCAGGCTGGCTAGAAGCTCTTTTGGTGCGTGCAAGAGACCGTCGGTGTTGGGGGAACAAAAACTGGCTAAGGCTCTGCGTTTAACAGAATAAGAGAGAGCTGGAAGGCACCTTGGAGGTCTTCTAGTCCAACCTCTTGCTCAAGCAGGAGACTCCATTTCAGACAACGGACCATAATGGACGCTTCTTAAAACAATCTCCCGTGATGGCGCACCCACAACAGTTTAGCTTCAACCCTCTTCCAGAGCTTGGCTGGAGCTTAAACCTGCAGGCTGGACTCAAACTCAAAGCTAGAAGAAATTCTGATCTGCCGTATTTATTGAAGAACATTAAGAAGCCCTAATAAAAGAATTCCAAAGATTGCTGGGTGCTTCAAGAGAAGGGGGTCTTTAGGGAGTCCATATTTTTGCACGCTTTCTCTGCCCCGTCTGGACAGCCCAGCGGTCTTAAGGAGGACACCGGATTTCCACCAGTTCTTGGCTTTCACAGCACTCAGATTTATGGTCCTGCTGTTCGTCTCCAGTGGTTGTGAACGTCTCACAGCTGGGGCACCTTCTCCTATACAGGTTCCTCAATAGCTATAGGGGGACCCCCTTTTCTTTTGGATTCTTTGGCTTTCATAATTTGGGGAGGGGAAGGAGGCCACCCTTCAGGCCCCTGTCCCTTTTGTGGCTCAATAATTTTTGAAAATCTCAGTCACCTCGGTGTTTGGCTTGTTGGGAGGGAAGGATCCCTGTGGGTGAATTTGACAGAGGAACCAAGGAATGAATCTTTCATCCTCAGACTTCATTTAGATGCGTTGTTGACCGATTCTGTTTTGTGCTCCATAGAGTTAGGCCCTCTGATCTCCACTCCCTGGTGTTTAAATGTCCTCTCTCTCAGCACTTCCCAGTGTGGCATCTGTGAAACTGGACACAGTAACCCACTAAGTTCTGCCTCTCAGCGAGCCCTTCTTAGCTCCTGCTTAGTCACGACCAGTCATTCCTCCTTTGGCCAATGACCCATTTCTTCTGGAGCAGTCAAGTCGGGTTAGAGGGGGCCAAACGGATGAAGGTCTCCCCCCTACACATATTTAAGATTGAGGCAGAAACAATGTCATGAGTTAGTCTTGGCTGAAGAAAGGGGCCAATTACGGGGAGGTGAGATCAAAGCTGGTTGCTTAAACGGTCAAAAGATTGTCTTGGGAAACTGGGTTGATTCCCGGTTAGCCTGCCTGCTTTAGGGTGTCAAATTGGATAAGAACTCATCGCAAACTTACAGCGCTTTCCCACAAGGTTTCACAAATCCTATCTAAGTAGCAATTTTGAGAATTAAAGACAGCCTTTTGTTGGGTGCCTCTTTGGAGATTAGATGGATTGAATGTATTTACTTTTGATCCTATGGAGAGTCTCAGCCCTCCAGGTCATGGTTGTCCCAAAAGTGCTGTTTTCAAGAGGCAGACGGACTTTCTGGTTTTTCTTTGAAGACATTGTGCTTCTCATCCAAGAAGCTTCTTCAGCTCTGACTGGATCCATCCATCCACCATCCAGTCAGAGCTGAAGAAGCTTCTTGGATGAGAAGCAAAATGTCTTCAAAGAAAAACCACTCGCCTCTTGGAAAAAGCACTTTTGGGATTGATCCGTTGGCCGTTCTTCAAAAGCTTTCACTTGAGATTTCCGTCAGACAACAGTAGCCTAACATAAGATATTTCGGGGCCAACTTTCTGAAAAACACCAAGGCAATGTGGAAGACAGCAATGCAGTCTCGTAAGCATAAATAATTAAATCAACACTACTCATTAAATGCCAGATTGAAAGAAAAAATATCACTGCTGGGCACTTTAGAAGGCCAAATGGAAGAGTCTGCTCTTCTTCTAAATTGCCACGTGAGCTGGGACCGGTCGGAGCTTGGAAAGGAGATCTGAGGGTGGGGGGTGGAAGGAGGCCAGGCGCCTCCAGCTCATAGTGTGGCAAGGATTGTCTAATTTGAAAGCCAGACCTGAGCAGTTTACGGGTTTAAAGTTGAATCAGAGGACGTGAAGACCCTCTAGAGGTCCTTCACCATTGCCTGGATTGTCTCAGCACTGCCAGAGGTCCAGTCAAGCAACATCTGGAAGACCATCCAGTTGCCTCCTAAATATGGGGTCCTTGGTGCTCTTGGAGCTTGGTTGTTCTCTAGCAGATGTTTCCCATCTGCAAGAAAGCAATCAGGCTGAGGGAGCACCAAGGACCCCACAGTATTCCTCCTCCTCTCTGCAGATCCCACTCCCTTTTAGTCCTGATGATGCTACCTAGTTGGGTCATGAAACATCTGCCAGAAAACATCCAAGCCCAGAGAACGCCACAGTTCAACCCTGAGCTACAAATACTCTCTCCTATTGGTCTTTCCTAAATAGTCAACCCATCATTCTACCCACCGGCTATCATCTTTCCATCATTTTCCATCACAGAGAGGTAGAGGTCTACAAAGCTTCAGAAGTTGGATGATAAACCAATCTTGGCAGAAAGTTGCCAAGAGGACTAATTGTTATAGGGGGAAAAAAAGATCTGTTGGCCCTGCCTTCATTCTACTGGGCCGTGGTCTTCCTTTGGAGACCCATCTCAGCCTGTTGAGCTTTTGATCATTTCTCATGCCTTTTCTGAGCTCGACCTACATTTTTGCCCTAGATTTGGGGAGATTTCTGCTCCGCTGTAGCCACTCTCCGCCCGCTCCCCATCTTGCATGACCGACTTCTTCAGAGCCGTCATAATTTTCCAGCTTTGTTCTCGTAGCTCCATCTTCACGGAGCCAAATCACATTATTTAACATAGCCAAAGCTGCTGACACCCTCCAAGACTTGATGGAGTTATGACTCAATTAGGTCAGGATAAATATTATTATTATTGTTATTATTATTATTATTATTATTATTATTATTATTATTATTATTGTTGTTGTTGTTGTTATTGTTGTTGTTGTTATTGTTATTGTTATTGTTGTTCTTTTTGTGCAAAGAAGCCAGCAACTTTTTGACCGGGTGACCTAATTAGCTTGTGGGCAGGCAGGTTCCCAGTGCGGGTATTGGGGACGGAGGGGACCCCCGTGTCTCTCTTGCCGACTCCGCCTTCTCTTCTCTTCCCAACTTTTGTGTCTTCCTCTGCTTTTTCCAATCAGGAACGCCAGCCCAGTGGGCCTCGTCCTAACCGTGGTGGTGGCTCTGTGCTACGCAGTTGCTCTGCTGTACGAAGGGTGAGTTGCCTCCATGCGGGATGGAAAAAATAACGATTTCATCATGAGAAAAGGGATGGTGTGTTTCCCCTCCTCCCTCGCTGCCTTCAGTTAACCTACTTGCTGTGTTTTCCCAGCAGATGTAATATAAAGATGATTCAGAGCGGGGGTTTGGTATTATCTACCCTGGTCATCAAATCTACCATTCTTCTCCGGATGTTTTCACTGGCAGATATTTCCATAACCTTCATCCTTGGACAGGCAGGTTGGGGTTGATACAAGTTGTAGTGGGGAACATCTTACTTAGAACAGAGGTTGCCATCTCCTGCTCTCAGAATCCTGTTTTGTAACGTGGTGGCCACGCCTGGAATACTGCGTCCGGTTTTGGTCACCACGTTACCCCAAAAAAAGATGTTGAGACTTTGGAAAAAGTTGCAAAGAAGAGCCACTGAGAGGATTGTAGGCCTGGAGGCCAAAACCTACAATGAACGGTTGGAGGATTTGGGTTTGGCTAGTCTGGAGAAAAGAAGAACTAAGGGAGGGCGGTGGGGTGATAGCACCATTCCAGTGTTTGAGGGGCTGCCCCAAAGAAGAGGAAGGGGTCAATTTATTCTCCAAAGCACCAGAAGGCAGGACAAGAAACAAGGGATGGAAACTGATCAAGGAGAGAAGCAACCTGGAATTGAGGAGAGGAGGACAATGAACCGGTGGAACAGCTTGACTCTAGAAGTTGAAGGTGCTTCATCACTGGAGGCTTTTAAGAAGAGACAGTCACTTGTCTGAAATGGCATAGGATCTCCTGATTGAGCAGTGGGCTGGACTAGAAGACCTCCAAGGTCCCTTCCAGCTCAATTCTGATTCAACCTACATGAGAAAAAAGTCATTCTTAATCTGCCGTAACAGACCTTCCAGCTCAATAGGTTCGGACCCACGTTTGGATTTTTCTCCTATGAAATGATAAACATGTTTTGGGTCAATGAGACTGAGGAATTCTAGAACTTTGGAGAATCAAGGCCATTTCAATGTCAACACCTGAGGTTGTTTTTCAGAGTTTGACTGACAGATGGAGCTGGGTTGGGCCAACCTGGAGCTGATGTTTCATTTGGTCAATTGAAACTCCTGATGGGAACAACCCAGCAGAGAGAACATTTATAACATATATAACAATGCGTGGTCCAACTGTTCCATGAAACCTTGTGTTTTGCAAGTTTCATTGACGTGTCGATGCATTTACCCACACGTACTTAGAATAAGCCTTTCCAGCTGCGCTAATCGTATGCTAGCAGTTATGGATATTTCCAGGTCATTCATTCAGAAGTGATTCATAAAAGGAAGGGGAGGTTTACCTTGAGTTCTTCGGAGCACATGAAGGGCCTTGAGGTAGCTACCCTCTGTGCCTTTCCTTCCATGCCGGCTCAATGCCATCAACCTGAAGAGCGGGGCAAGCTGTGTCCATTGTGTTGTTCACTGTTTATGTTCTAGGATGCTGAGCGTGTTCAACCCTGTTCAACCCTGGACTTGGGTTTAGTTACAGTAGAGGTTCTGCCTTTTGATCAAGCTCAACTGATCAATAACTTCTCACTGATCAAAGGCCAATATTGACGTTGCTCAATAGCGGAACATCAGTCTAACTGATCAAAGAGAGAAGCAACCTAGAACTAAGGAGAAACTGGCTAACAGTGAGGACAGTTAATCAGAAGTTGCCTTCAGAAATCATGGATGCTCCATCCCTGGAGGTTTTTAAGAAGAGACTGGACAGTCACTTGTCTGAGATGGTATATAGGTTCTCCTGATTGAGCAGTGGGCTGGACTAGAAGACCTCCAAGGTCCCTTCCAGCTCTATTCTATTCTAAATCACTAGGCCAGAACAAGCCACCCACGCTCTGTTTCCAGCTGATAGTCCTCCTAGCATCCCAGGTACTCTAGTCCAACAAAAGAGATGGTTGTGGATAGAAAGCAGGTTGCCTGGAGGAAAAATCCCAGAGATGCTTTTTCAAAAGTCTTTGTTTCTCCTTGAAGACATTTCAAGGAAAAAAGAAAGGCCAGTTGTCTTTCAAAAAGCACCTCTGGGCCAACCATGACCTGGATGACTGAGAGTCTCCATAGGTATTTCAAGCATAAATGGTGACTTTCTGTGGTTTCTATGGAAGAGGGTTCCAGGCATTCACCCGAAGGGATTTCGGTAGAGAAGGGAGAATGGAGATCCACCAGAACTTTACACCTGGAGCTCCACCTCCCTCTCAGCATGATAAATTGAGCTTAGAGGTTCAGAGGGTTGGTACTTATGAGTTCCCTCCACTGACAAATGGAACATATATATTTTTTTTCTGCTTACGATCTTTCTTGCATAGTTTTCTCACAGGACACTAGAGAAGGAGGACAGGGGTGGAGATCTCTCTGCCTCACCATTTGTTCTCTTTCGGGTATGATGAACTCTTTGCCCGTGGGAAAAAAGGAAGAACATAGGGCAGCATTTCTCAACTTCAGCAACTTGAAGCTGCCTGGATGTCAGCTGGGGAACGCTGGGAGTCCACACAGCTTAAAGTTGCTAAGGTTGAGAACCTTGATCTAGGCAGGATGAAGAAGACATGGCGAGGGGAGTGGGGCCTGGGAGTATTCACCCCTCTTTTTTCTTGTTCTTCTTCCCACCAAACTCTGGTGCCTGCTGTTCCCTCACCCCATCTCCCATCTCTCTCTCTCCTAGGCCTTTCACCGAAGAGATCTACCGCAAAGCACCGAAGGGTGAATAAGGCCACAGCACCAGTTGCAAAGACCTCCCCGATGCTGGACACAAGAGAGCCAGCCTGCTGGTGGCTCCAAGATGGGACAATTGGATAGGATGAGAGAACTTCAGCCTGACTTCTGTCACGTTCCTCCAACCCCTCGACGACGAATACACAAAACACACAAACAGCTCCCTCCTTTTTTTTTTGTTTCGGTTTGATGGGAACGCCCAACTCCGAAAGGAAAGACTTGACAAGCGCAAGGCCAAGCCAGGCACAGCAAGGGTGCTTTCGAACGCCGTTTCCATTAGCTACGTAATTCTGGGATGTTCTGATTATAGGCTGGAGAGCATCAAAAAAAGGTGGCCCAGGCAGGAGCGGTTGATGTAACTGCAACCACGTGTAGGACACGTACAAAGGGAGAGATTGAAACAATGAAAAAGCACGCATACATTCCTTGACAGGAGAACAAAGCCACGAGGGTGCATAGGCGCTAATGCTGCTTGCCCGTATTTGTGGGTGGGGGGAAGGGATTGGATGCTTCAGTGGGGAGGCATGGACTACCTGTGATCGTGCAGCCTCTGTAGTCATGCAACAGACATGCAACTGGATGAACTGAATTCATCCATTTTCCGGATTAGCGCCATGCCTTAAGGTCATCACCAAAGGGCTGAGATTATTCAGATACGCAAAGCCATAAACAAACCTTAACCATGTTGATCCCAAACCAAGATTAGTGTGTTTTTAGGAAGGCTTGATCTGATATCCTTTAGCATGAGGTGTAATTGGTGCTCTCTGAGGCTTGGTTGTTTTCTTGCCGACGTTTCATGACCCAACTAGGCAACATCATCAACCTGCTAGAAGGGAATGTAGCTTGTGGCAAATTTTGAGCAAACGTTGCTCTTTAAATGAAAATGCGAAGATTCTCTCTGGATAACCAGTGATGTCAGGAAGAAGATTAAAATCCAAGTTCTCCAGAATTTGCTAGAAAACAGTATTTGCATTGTATCTCGTCCAGCTGAAATAGTGCACCCCTTCAAAAGCTGCACCAGATGACTTTTTCAGTTCGGGGGTTTCAGATACACCCCATTTATTGCTATCGCTGCCTTTCCTCTATGTGCTATGATGCCTTGACTTCTGAAAGCACCTTCCTGGCTTCTGGGCCTCACCACAGACTGTGTATTTTCTCAACAAGGTTGGTGGACTTCTGCAGCCAAAGCAACTGTGATTTAGTTTCTGTGATGTTGCAGAGAATGCGAGATATTGAGAGCATATCCCTACAGATATCCGTAAGCCCCAAAGTGTTGCTTTAGCTGCTGTGAGTTTTACTCAGATATGTAGGAATAGGTCAGATTCAGGGGTGCGGTTAGTTAATCTCAAGTGTTCATTTCTGGGAAAGGAACAAAAAAACAGCAGTATTTTTCCCATTGCTTGACTAGTGCAAGAGTTTTGTCACCCATTTTTCACCCTCATTCATGAAGTTCATCTCCCCAAACTTCCCCGGAAGCTCCAAAAACAGCCGTTCTTCGCTGAAGTGAACATCTGATGAACGGATTCTCAGATATGTAGGCCGCTTCTGTGATGGCCTGGATTCGTCACCCACGAAAAGTGCTCCCTTTGTGTCTGTCTAAAGACCCTTGCACCTTCATTTGAGCAACTGGTGGCATCTCCGAAATCCTTTGAAGATCAAAGAATGGAAAGCCATCAGGTGAACTAAGCCCTTTCACAAGATTTTGTCTTTGTGTCCTAGGGTGTTATAAATTCCTTTCTCTTTGTTCTCCGTTACTATCCTTTTTTCCTTCTCCCAGCTATCACAAAAACATTGTAAATTCCTTTCACGTCCCATTGTTTTCCAGTTTTTTTCCAAACGAACTCCAGATACCAACTTCTGAGAATTATATAAATTCCTTCCATCTCCCTCTCTCCCTTATATCCTGTCCTAGCTAAGTTTGGCTTATCTGGCCCAGCAGGAGCTGAAGAAGAGATGGTTTAACCATCATGTTGGACTCGCTATGAGACAAAGCACGTTAGGGCGGTACGTCACACGGATTTTATGTCCTTATTTTTCACTGTGTCCATAATAGTTGCAACTGAAGTACCTTGCAGACAAAATACCATTTCAAAATAAATTTCAAAAGAGAAGCACCACAATCTCCAAGAAAGTTTATTGGTATGCACTCCTTCTTTCCTACATATTGTCTGCTGCCTGTCTTACTTTCTGATCCCTATTATTCATAATGATCTTTCTTGCAAAGGAATATTTATATTTAGAGTCCTTTTCTGTAGCCACTTCTCATGCATGCTGTACCCATAACAACCGAACAAGCAGAAATACGCTGCATTATTCAGGCAACCGTTACCAGACTGTCAATCTGAGTTACAGTAATGGGTTTAAATTTGTTCTTTTATCATGAAGAGGAATTTTCTGGAAGGAAAAAGAATCTGTTGTCTTTCTCGAACTGTTTACAAAGACAGTCCCATTTTTATCTCTTATTTTTTTCTGTTTTATCTCTCTTTACCTCAGCTTTAAAAGAAGATGATTCACATTTTGTTTGCAAGAATGACTGCTCCATTTTTAAACATTTGTCCTTGGCCTCTGTAGCCACCAATTGTACAATCTAACCTATTTTTTTTTCCCCTGTCTATGGCTTGTAAACTGGCAATGTGAAATTTGGTGTCCCTAAGCTTTCAGAGTGGACTTGAAACCCTTCAAAAGTTGATCCCAAATTCTACTTGTTTTATACACGAATGGAGAGGAATTGGGTCATTTTCTTTCCATTTAAATGCAGATGACGTCTCTTTCAATTTTCCTCCTGCCACCAGTAAACCAGCCACAGGCAAAAGGCAGTCTAGTGCCTAGAACAAAATACATTGCCCGTGTCAGATATAAATGCCAACCCACTTTATAAACTCTGTTTTATAAATGAAAGCCATCCCTAAATCTGACGCAATTCAGCTGTTTGGGATGGAGAGCAATTCTTAGTCCTACAAGGTTATGCTCAACCCTAAACCACAAAGAAATACTATTTTGGCTCAACCGGAGGAAACCCAGTTTCTACTATTTAGCCTCCACTGGAGGCTAAACCATACGATGAACGGTTGCAGGAACTGGGCCTGGCTAGTCTAGGGAAGAGAAGGACCAGGGGAGACAGGAGAGCAGACTTCCAATATTTGAGGGGCTGCCACAGAGAGGGGGGGGGGGGGGTCAAGCTATTTTTTAAAGCGCCTGTAGGCCAGACAAGGAACAATGGATGAAAACTGAACAAGGAGAGATTCAACCTGGAAATAAGGAGAAACTTTCTGACAGGGAGAACAATCAACCCATGGAATAGAAGTTGCCTTCAGAGGTTGAGGGAGCTTCATCCCTGAAAGCTTTCAGGAAGAGACCGGACTGCCCTCTGTCAGAAATGGTGCAGGGTCTCCTACTTGGGCAGGGGGTTGGACTAGATGACCTACAAGGTCCCTTCCAGCTTTCTTAATCTGTTAATCTGCTGCCATTGTCCATTCTGCCTCTTGTCTCCATCAAAACACGATGCAGCTCCAAATTCTTGCCTAAAGCAGGGCTGCCCAACCTTGGCAACTATAAGACTTACTGAGGGATTCTGGGAATTGAAGTCCACCTGTGTTAAAAATGGCCAAGGACCCTGATCTAAAGGATGGCTAAAGTGGACTCCTCCCCTTCTCTCTCCATTTCATAAACCCAAGACAGGTAAGTTGAGCAGAGTCACCTTCCTTTGGGTCACTGGGGCTCCGGTCCTCTGATCTGCACCAGCCAAGCCCATCCGACCTAAAAGTATCTTGTGTTTGTCGAAAGAACAATTGCCAGAAGCAAAAGGGACAAGTTTTTCTCCTTTTTCTAGGAAAAAGCCATAGCAGCAGCTGTTCTAATTAGCTTTCAAGAGGATTGTTTCCAAATAATGCAATCCTTTTTCTCTAAACATGGACCGCAGTGGTGTTTTATTGCTTATATCACCCCATTGTCCTGTTGTCTGTGCCAGTTTTAATGTTCAAGTCTGGATACGCCGAAGCCTAAAATCGAACAAATAGGGCGTATTAACATGATGGAATTATGGCTGCCGTTGTTTGGGCGCAGGCCAGGATCTGTTTCTAAGAATCAGAGATGCCAACAGGCATTTTGCAAAGCACAGGACGGGCTAGTTTAGAGTGGATTAGTACAGAAATGTCCTAGAAAACTAGCTCCTTGGGTTAGTTGTACTGTGTGAACTCAGGAAATGGGTTAACTCGGGGAACGGGGGCTCTGTGTGAACCCAGAAAATCAGGCGAATTGAATAAACTCGGTTAAAAGTTACCAGGGAGAAGTATAATGTGTGAACAGCAGGACTTGGTTAATACTTTTGCGTGCAGCAACTATGACTCAATAGAGGCCTCGCCGATCATCCTTTGGAGGGCAGGATAAACATTGTAAGGTGCTAGAGATGGGCCGGAAAGGAGGCTTTTAAAAAAAATACGAAGAGGGTAGATCTCTCTAATTAATATCAATGTCAAGCTGTTCATGATATTCTGCAAAACCAGAAGAGGCAAGAAGCTTGCCTGAATTTTGCTAAATGTTGCCTAGGTGCTAAAAACAAAAATAATTGATCGATAATTGCTCTACCTACAGAAGCAGACCGGGCTAGTTTCAACTTCCTTACTCTTGGTCAGACCTAATCCTTGTTGAAGATTCTTGCTCAGCCTTCCCTGGAGAGCTTCAGCACATTGTTTTGTGCTCCTTGGCAGAAATCGTAACTTCTTGTGCAGAGGAAATGTTAATGACCACTCACATCATATTTTCTCTATTCAACTCTTAATTCCTCTTTTTTTGGCATGGGTTTTTCAACCGAAAGAAAATTCTGGTGGACTCTGTCCTTGCTAGTCTTCTCTTGACCATGCTTAGCAGAACTCAAAACCCACAGTCTGGTGTCTTGGCCCCCAAAGAAGCTAACAAAGGCTGATGAATACACACCTTCAGACCTACTAAGTTGTGTTTGTGCAAATACAAGTCTTGGTTTGAGGGGTCCTTGGGGCTCTCTGGGCTGGCTTGTTTTCTTGCAGATGTTTCTTTACCAAACTAGGTAACATCATCAGAGCTAGTAAGGAGTGATGTTTGCCATCAATTTATAGCCTAATGGCTTGACCTGTCAGTATTAGTGGCAACGACTGTAGAGATGCTTTGATTCTTTGTTTGCTGTTGGCTTCTTTGGCAGTTCCTTGATTGGGCCATTGTTGTTGTTTTTTAAAGTTATTTTTAATTTTAATTATGATAATACAACACAACACATCCAACTTAACTTTGTTATACATATATACATTTTATTTCATCATTTGTAATCTCCTTACTTAATGTATTAATTACGAATTAATCTAATCATAGATGCTATTAATGTCTTACGTGCCCGTTGATGGCTGATTTGTCAGAGTGCCAGGCTGAAGTCTCATTTCTCATCTTCAGGTTCAGCCCAGTGAGGCAACGTTGATCTTATTTCCTTCAACGTGTGAGGGTGTTTGGGCATTATTTCTAGCAACAGATACGTGGTTAGATCTTCCTTCAAAAAGTCCAACGTTTAGCTTGTTTGTCGCCATTTTTTAAAGACCTCCCGACTTGCACTTTCCTTCCCTTCTAACAAAATAATCTTGGGGATCTTTAATTTGTCATGGCAGAAGATTCAGATCAAACCTAGGAAGGACTTCCTTACTGTACATAAAGCAGGATCAAACCCATGGATTTATTGCTGTAGTGAAGTTTAGTAACTCTTGGCTCACATGTGTTTTGTAAAGTCGGGGTGTTGAGCAAGCTGGACTCACAGCATTGCCCAGCCCACCCAACCCTTTTTAAACAGCTTCCAGAGACCCCCAAGATGGCATCGCCAAACTTTGCAGCATACACTGCCAGGGTCACTTTATAAAGGCGGAGCATTAGTCTTAAAGCAGCTGCAGAGTTTGTGGGTTGTTGTTTTTTACATGCGCACACAAACCAAAACAAGAAGGAAGGCAGGTAACAACGGCAAAACCAAGAACTTGGAAATGCAAATATCTCAGGTTCTGGGATGCCAAGGACTAGAAACTTAACTTCTGGCCCTGCCTGTAAAGCATCGGTTGCAGCCGGTTTGAGGGCCAAAGCCAAGATGGGTGGTCTGAGTTCTACCCGATAGAGGGGGGGTGCCCCTTTCCATTAAAATATCTTACAGCTTTGCACAACTTTCTGCCTCTGCACCCCAACTTCTGGTCCCCAGTTGTCCTCCCTGTGATCTGCTCAACGCTGGCCTTTTTCCAGAGCGCGTCCCCTGCAAATAATCCTTCAAGAGGGAGAGAGAGAGAGAGAGAGAGAGAGAAACAACATCACATTCTCCGGGGACTTAATTAAGCAGCTCAATGACATTTATGAATGAAGGCTCAGCAGGAGGGAAGAGAAGCAGATTGAAAGGCCCGGGGCAAAGCTGTGTTGAGCCCTGCTTGTTGTTGATTTAAGAGATGGTTGTGTTTGAATTTCTGCCTGGTGGGGTGCAGATTAATTGGAGCCTGGATAGTCGGTATCAGATCCAACCTGCTCTGGCTAATCGGCAGGTGGAGAGGCTGGTGTTTCCCTGATTCCTGCCAAGGATTGACCGAGAATGGTGGGTTTGGGGGAAAGGGGAAAGGGGACCACGTTTTTGTTGCTAAGTGAGAAATTTGTTAAGTGAGTTTCCCTCCCCCGGCCCCCATTTTTTATGACTTTTCTTGCCAGGTTTGTTCAGAGAATCCCTGCGGTTGTTAAATTGGTCACACGGTCATTAAGCGAATCTGGCTACCCCTCCCCCCGCCATTCCCTCTGCTTGTGAAAAGGTCGCAACAGGGGATCGCGTGCCGTGACACTCGCTCCCCGGGACGCTGCAACCATCATAAATATGAACCCAAGCATTGCCAAGGGTCTGAATTTGGGTCACGTGGCCCTGGGAACGCTGGAACTGTCGTAAGCGCGAGGACCGGTCTCAAGCCCCCTTTTTCCAGTGCCTTATTTCAAACAGTCGCTCAAGGGGCAGTCGTAAGTGCAAGGACTAGCTGTACTACAGCTCTACCGAATCTATAATAACGAATCTTGGACGGGTGGTGGTGGTGGTGGACTAGATGACCTACAAGGCCCCTTCCAACTCTGATTATCAGTTATCTGTTACAAAGACGTGTCTGTGTGTCTCTGTGTGTGTGTATAACCCCCCCCCCCTGTTTGGAGAAGAGGCAGGGGTGGGGTCTTCACTGCTCCCCTTCGTCATGTCCTCGGAACGTTTCCTGCCCGGGTTTCTGAAAA